AAAACGCATTATTTTAATTGTGTATTTTATATACATTCTGCCAATCATCTTTTTTAATACACATATCTATTTGGAGAAAATATTTTTTTATCTGGCTTCCTTTTATCCTCGTGTGACTCCAAGTATATCCTAGATGGGATCATACCACCAATGCTGATATCAGAGTGCAGTAGGCCTGCACTCCACTTGTGAGTACATTTTTATCTTATGTTTATTGCATATTGTTGTGGTCGTGACCTAAATATGAATATTAATCTCTTAATACATAATAATTAAACAATACGGAACAACATTAATATTTTTATAATTCATGGTATTATGGTCGAATATGTGGATAGAAAATACACAAAACGTTGTAATATTAAATGTATATTTAATATAACTATAACAAATAAACAGATGCTAGCAGAATGTCAATTTACTACAATTATGATACAATACAAAACCAAATATTAAATGTATATTTAATATAACTATAACAAATAAACAGATGCTAGCAGAATGTCAATTTACTACAATTATGATACAATACAAAACTACAACATATTACTTACAAAAGGTTGCTACATGTTACACAACATTTTACTTACAAGGCCCCAGCCCTTTGGCTGGGGTTAAAGGACCACTATAGTGCCAGGAAAACATACTCGTTTTCCTGGCACTATAGTGCCCTGAGGGTGCCCCCACCCTCAGGGACCCCCTCCCGCCCGGCTCTGGAAGGGGAAAGGGGTAAAAACTTACCTTTTTCCAGCGCTGGGCGGAGAGCTCTCCTCCTCTCTCCTCCTCCATTCCTCCTCCTGCCGGCTGAATGCGCACGCGCGGCAAGAGCTGCGCGCGCATTCAGCCCGTCGCATAGGAAAGCATTTACAATGCTTTCCTATGGACGCTGGCGTGCTCTCACTGTGATTTTCACAGTGAGAAGCACGCAAGCGCCTCAAGTGGCTGTCACTAGAAATAAGAGAATAGTATACACAAAATCATAGCATAGACATGTTAAATAGACAATAAAATAAAACATTCAATAGCTCATCAAAGGTCAACATTTAAACACTGGTCTCCATCTGATATTCTATCTGTGTTCCAATGTCCACCTCTGGTTTCTGCTACATCTGAAAAGGTTAGGAAACAGATCAGGATTACTTTCCTAGTCACTTATAGCGTATACTGCAAATATTTTACTTAGAATATATATATATATATATATATATACACACACACAGACATGTAAACACATTCCTTCAGCTTTTCATTTTATAAACAATTTGTTCAACAAGGTAACTTTCTTAATTTTCTACTCAGCTCTTAAAATAAACAATCAGCTAATAGATGCTTTCTGCATTTTCCTTGCAATTCAGGAGTACACAACACTAAAAGTCCAATACTCAGTACCCCCTAGCCTAAATTCCCCACCCGCTACTGTAACTAAGTTTACAGCCCACGTTATGGCAGTTCACCCGCTAGACAGATACACAATACACCCACGTATTACTTATTTTATATTTCCTGGTCTCTCAGGGATATACAATAGCTAATCCCCTTCCCAGGGCAATATAAAACTGACACAAACTTTTAAGCAATACAGGATTTCAAATGGACTTATGAGTAACAAATTTCTAGCCAACTTAAACATGTTTAATAACTTTCCACCCTTTGGTTAAATTATAGAGGAGTGAACCACAACACCTCTTCCGCCTCTGAAAGGATATAGGTCAATATGTCTCAAAGTTCAACACTTCTGACAGCTATGAGTGACTCCCTATTAATTTCTAGCCTTTCCACGGACATGCTTGCACCTCGCGGCTAAGGGCCTGCACAACTAACCACCCTGTGATGGCAGTGGCTTTCCGCATGGGGGTGACCGCCCCCGCAAATTTATAGAAGAGCAAACATACAGCAGCCTCTTTTCCGGCTCGATTAAAGGTTCTGGGCCAATATGTCTGCAATTTAACCAGTACACTCACGTATCACTTATTGTATATTTCCTGGTCTCTCAGGAATTTCTATTAAATAGCGTATCCCCTTCCCAGGGCAATATACAACAAAAACTAGTCACCAAGGGTCTCTATGGTCATGATAGGCCACCCTACCACTAGTGTAATACGCCCTTTTTTAAAAAATATATTTCCTGGTCTCTCAGAGATTTTGCCTATCCCTTTCCCAGAGCAATATATATAAACAATTACAAATAAGTTACAAAACGCTACTTATAAGTAATACAGGGTTTCAAATAATAATACAGGATAGAACTGCACAACAACTATTGGGTATGCTCCCCCTTATCCGGACACGTTTAAATACCCCCTAGCTCAGGTTCCCCACCCGCTACTGTAACAAAAATCACAGCCCACGTTATGGAGGTTCACCCGCTAGGCAGATACACCCTAATTCAAAGCATGGAAATATTAAAATCAGTTATAGATGGCTTCTAAAATAATATAAATCTTAATCTGAGCCCCTACAGTTACTGTGTTAAAAATGCTAACTTGTTAAAATATTCAAACTAAATAGGACAAAGGAATTATTTTACCATTTTTTCAGTTCATTTGTTACCAGTTCCTGCATATGTCCAGTAATTCCTTAGTCCTGGATAATAAAGCTGAAAAACACTCCACAAATTGATTAGTTTAGGCAATTACATTTACAAAACAATGCAGTTTATTTTTTTCTCATACAGGCAAGACTACCCACCCCCAACAAGGACAAATTCTCCCCCAGCTGTAGCTGAAAAGCATGGTCACACAGCTGTTAAAAAGGTGGTCTCTCCTTCAGGAGTCAAAATCATATATATATTTATACTAATATTTTGTGTATATGCACAATTATTCACTGAATCTGCTTTACTAAACATATCTTTTTCTTAACTACTAATTTACTAGACAAATCCATGAATGCCAAACAAATGTAAATTAGTACACAAACAGGGTCAAATTTAGCAATAAAACCTGGTGAACTAGTTTAGTGAAAAGTCTTTTCCTATGCAAATGGTAGCAAACAATGAAACTAGGCCTCAACTCATTCACACCATGTGGTCAATGGTGGATTAAAATCCACATGGTCAGACAAAAGGTAAAGTATATATAAGTTTTCTCCTATATACAAATGACCAAAGATTGGTAACAAGCAACACAATAATTCATCACTATGTTCTACAGCAAGAGATACATTAAAAACAAATATCTAATCCCTATTTGCTATCTGCATTCATTCCATTAAAACCAAATCATCATTCATTTATTCATTTGTATACAGACAGACAATTTACAGTATGATTTAAGCAAAATGCATAACATTTATATTTTCCCCAATATTCAAGCATAATCCTGCCGACTACGCCATATGTTGTGGTGTGACCTAAATATGAATATTAATCTCTTAATACATAATAATTAAGCAATACGGAACAACATTAATATTTTTATAATTCATGGTATTATGGTCGAATATGTGGATAGAAAATACACAAAATGTTGTAATATTAAATGTATATTTAATATAACTATAACAAATAAACAGATGCTAGCAGAATGTCAATTTACTACAATTATGATACAATGCAAAACTAAATATTAAATGTATATTTAATATAACTATAACAAATAAACAGATGCTGGCAGAATGTCAATTTACTACAATTATGATACAATACAAAACTACAACATATTACTTACAAAAGGTTGCTACATGTTACACAACATTTTACTTACAAGGCCCTTTGGCTGGGGTTAAGTCAGAGCTGGTACTACATCTTAGGTTCAGTCAGGTACAGGCAAAGAGACAGAGTTTTCTCCTCCATCTGGTTTTTATTCAGTGTAAGTAGGCTGGCCTGTGATGTCACTGCCAGAAGCACATGTCTTCCTACACACTCCCCCCTAGTGGTGCCCCCAAAGCATTACACTAAATATGCTTTATTTATGATGTAAAGTCATTAATTAATAAATACCATTACACACATTTTATTCTACTAAGAGCACTATTAGTTGTCTTTTATATATTTTATATATTCTACTTCTGAGTGCTGAACACGATCCCTCTGGAAGACTCCTATCACATATGCTTTAAAGTGGGGATTATACCGCTGTACGTTCTTCACACCTGAGCTGGCTATAGCTCTTTTAAATGTGAGTTGATTGCATGTATTTGTTCATTTTATCCAAATTGGCTTGTACATACTGCACCATTGGTTGTCTTCGCTTTTGTTTTTCATACAAGCAGAGAGGTTGGATCACTAAAGGCATTGGGGACCCTACACCCAAAAAAAAAGCATCAGATAAGACTTTTGAGTGAAACTTGAACAATTTAGAACTTTTTCTTGTATGTGATCCCAGAAGTATTTTAATCCCACTGTTACAGTGAGATCAGATATATTGTATTATTCTACTAAGTATAGTATTATCTCTATATTGTTATTATTCTTTTGTTTTTTTTTTTATCTGGCACAGCCCTTTTTTCTGTTATCCATAAAATTCGAGACGATACCTATCTGATATATATAAAAAATAAAAAGGAAACTATGTCGCAGAAATATTTCAATGAAGTCCCAGACAATAAGTCTTTTAATCAGTTCTGTCCAAAATATAATCAAGATAATCCAGCTACAAATGAATGTGCAGACATACACTGGAAAAAAATGCACAAATAGCAGGAATGGGGAGACAAAATACTGCTAATAGCGTAATACCATTAAAATGATAACATTTTTATTGTAAGATTTCTAAAAAAAAAAGTTGTAAATCGTCTCTCACATGTTAAAATAAAAAACATCTTGTGGATTACAGCATACGTGAACTTTGAAGGTTTTCCTCCTCTTCACTCCCTTTTTAGATAACAAGCAAGTTTTGCTGTAGGTGTCCTTGCCAACAGCCTGCTATCTTATGCATAACCTTTAAAATCTAAACTGTTACGCTCTCCATGGGCCAAAGCCTATGTGCATATAGCAATTTGGCCCTTCACTATGTCATCAGCTCAGTAAGGCTCAGTAACTTCCTAAACTCCCCATATCCCTTACTTTATGGGGTCAATATGACCCCTATCTTAGTATAAGAATGGTTAAAATCTCCCTACTGTCTGTCACAAACGCACCCTACTTCAAGAGTATGCGTGACGTAGTTGTGGTGGTGAAAGGGTTAACGTTCCCTATTTATCTGCACTAGAGAGGAAATAATGATAAAATCCCCCTTAACACCACCCACACTTATGCATAATAATAAAAATATTACTATTTTAACGCTGCCACCACCATTACAATTTATAAATTGGGGGCCTTGGTGCCCCAGGTAACTTAATAATAAAAACCCACCAAATGTAACTTAGCACAATATCTATGTAATTGCAAAAGAAACCCACATTAATTATTTTAATAGGTGTCCCACCATGTTGCACTATATTAGATTCAGGGGGGGAGTTAGAATAGCCATTGGCTACTCACTGTTTAGTAGACATGCCCCTACTCACGGCATAGCGAGTAGGGGCGGGAGGGAGATTTTTAACTCCTTTAATTACTAATTCAAAGTATGTTTTACTTTTTTTAGTAGATACTTCCCTAATACTGTGGAAATTAGGGAGCTATCTATTAAACGCCTACAAGATGCAGCTGCAGAAAAATTGGGATTGGAATTTCATTATCTGAAAAAAATTTCTAACCAAAAAAAAAATCACCAAATTTCATGCGAACACGAATGGATAAACTGTGGGCAATCGGTTTGCACAAAATTCTGTGAATTTGCCAGAGCCCTGTTTATATGACAGGATGTTTGGGAATAGTGAAAGGAGGCATTTCGAGAATATTGTGGGAACATTTCTTTGACCACAGGAAGGAAATGGAGCACACTTAAGTTCCTCCATTGGTCAATGAAGGTCAACTGTAATGTCCATAATATAATCAAGATAATCCAGCCACAAATGAACCTGCAGGCATACACTGTAAAGAATGCAAGAATAGCAGGAATGGGAAGACAAATAACAGCTAAAAACGTAATACCATTAAAATTATAACATTATAAAAAAAAAAAGTAGTAAATTGTCTCTCACATTTTAAAATAAAAAACAACATCTAGTGAATTATAGCATACGTGAACTTTGAGGGTTTTCCTCCTCTTCACACCCTTTTGCATAAAAATGCCTGAAGGCAATGATTATACTCACCAGAACAACTACATTAAACTGTAGATGTTCTGGTGACTATAGTGTCCCTTTAAAACAAACAGGAAAAAACTATTTCTACATTTATAAATAACACAACATATAGAGATTTTGATCACAAAATATATATGCCAAGAACAAAACATGACAAAAGCAATATTTTAGTTTGCTGATTAAACCTAGGCAATATAAGTACAATCTTAAGAGCTTATATAAACATTGATACAACAGGGAGTGCTGGGAAACTAGTAAAAGGTAAATATACCCTTACTTAATAATTTTATATTGTTATTCTTATTAGGTGTTTTATTGTTTTTTTTGTAAATTCTTTATTTTTCAGGTCTATCAACGTTTGTTATGGGATACAAAATTAAAAATAGGGAGGGGTTGCATTTCACAATAAATTCAATGAAGAAATTGAGTGCTTTATGTCTGTTTCCCTGTCATTGTTTGTGTTTCCTTTCCTTTTTTTTTTTTTTTTTAAAGATATATAGTTATTGGTTTAGTGTAAAAGTAGACATTGTAGCAAAAGTTTGAGACTCGTAGGTCTCGTAAGAGTCCCATGCCGTAAATTACTTAACTCAATATGTTAATGATGTAGACACGCAGGTCTGGCAACAAATCAGAAAAGAAGAGACACATAGGTCCCAAATCGTACAACTTATAATCATATTAACAGATAATATTAAGCGACCTTGAGGTTCGTTTGTTTTCTCTATGCGTGTAGGTTTATGAATTTGTTGTCTTGTGTGTTTTTGTAATGTTGTGCTGCTATCAGTTTGCATAAGTCAATATTGTGGAGTTGGTAGTTTGTCTATTGTTGTTTGTTGCATATTGTGTTTATATTATCGTTTATCATTTAGTGTGGCATCACAGTGTAATTTGCCATTAAGGGGTAGGACTCGCAGGTCCATTGCATATAAATGATTCATCCACAGTACCATTCGCATAGGGCATCAATGTGTAAAGTAAACGGTTACAGAAAACCAACAGCTCCACATATCATACATTTCCTATCATAAGACCATGTATAGTACAGGGCTATACAACTTAACCGAAGTTTAGGTAGTGTGGGTGGCTTCATGAGGTAACCAAGGGAAAGTTGTGGTAATGTACTGTGTGTAGGTGTAGATGATATTTTGGCCAGCGATCAGGCCTCTGTCTCCGGTTTCCCTATTTGCCCCTATGCCGCCAGTACTTCCCGCCCATTTGGCTCTCACGTGTGTTCTCTTACCTATCTCTTTCTCCCTTCCGGGCATAAGCATTGTGCCAGGGTTAAGGAGTGTCAATCCCTAGCTTGGTTGAACCAGCGACCCGGGGTTCCTGTCTACGTCTCAGTCTGAGTCAGAGCCGGGGTGTCACCCTCCTGTTCCCGGCTACTTCCCTCTGTCGGTGTTATGTCAGTATGTTTTGAAAATCTGTGCGGTAGACTTCTACTAGCCAGTGTGTCCAGATGTCCAAGTATGTTTGTGGGCGACCCTGTGCCGTGAACGTCAAGTGTTCGTGTCCCCTCAGCTCCTCCATTTTCTCAAACCAGGTCATTAATGGGGGGGCGGGGGGGGTCTGACTTCCAGTATAGGGGTAATATATGTTTCGCTGTGTTCAGTATTCGTATGGTCAGGGATTTCTTATATTTGGCTGTCGGGGTTGTGGTGTGATGTAAGAGGTATGCGGTAGGTTTAAAGGGGGGTGGGTTGTCGGAGAACTTGTGTAGTACCCTGCTGATCATTCTCCAGTAGGGGGACTACTATAGGGCACTCCCACCATATGTGTAAAAACGTGCCTACTCCCGTGTGGCATCACCAACACCTGTCGCTCACTTCTGGAAACATTTTATGTAATATCTGTGGTGTTTTATACCATAAGGTTAGGACTTTATATGCCGTCTCCTGGGTTTTACTTGTGTTGTGGTGTGGTGTGTGAGGTCGCAGACTTTTACCCATTGTTGTTCCGTGAAGGTGTCCCCCGTCATTGTTTCCCATTTTCCCATGTAAGGGGGTGAGGGGAGATTCCTGTTGTGGAGGAGCAGAGTGTATATGTGGGAGATGGCATGTGTAAGTGGGTCTAGGTCTGTTCCCAGGCTTTCGAACGGGGTCAAAGTCCTGTAGAGGTCAGGGTACTGTGGTATATTTTTCAGGAACTGTAGGATCTGTTCATGTCTCAGTCTGTGTAGGAAGGTAGAGTGTGTGTCGTCCGGGAAGTCACTAAGGGGTTTGATCGTGGTGTTCTTACTCATGTGTCTTACTTGAATGTGTGTCTGTAATGTCAACCAGGCGAATGCCCGCGGGTCCATGCCTGGGGCAAAGTCTGGGTTGTTTGTGAGCGGGTAGAGAGGGGATGGTAAAGAGGAGAGGCCCATCTGTGTGGCCACCCTGTGCCATACGTCTAACATTGCCTTCACCAGAGGTTAATGTTGCGACAGACGTCTCCCCGTTGTTGGTGACATCCATGTTAATGCTTTCAGGGAACCGCCTATTTGGACTCTCTCTATCTCCTTCCAATGTTTGATCACTCCGACCTTGACCCATTCCAGCACGCGTTGCAGGTGGGAAGCCTGATAGTAAAGTCGGAAGTCAGGGACTGCGCTACGCCGTACTCGAGTTTCGGGCGTGTGAGCGTTAGATATTACAGCATCGGTGTACCCCGGCCCCAAATGTACTTACATCAAATAAATGTACTTAATCATCAGAGACCTCAAAGACGTGAAGTATCCTGTCGGGATCTGTATAGGGAGAGTCTGGAACAGGTACAATATGCGAGGGAGGAGATTCATTTTTAGCACCGCTACTCGGCCGAGCCAGGACAAGTGAGGCAGCTTCCATTCTTCAAGGTTTTTCTTGAAATTATTTAGCATCGGAGTGAAGTTAAGGTTGTATAGTTGGGTGAGGTCTCGGGGTATCCACGTCCCCAGGTATTTAATCACCCTCTCAGACCAGTGGAAGTGGAAGCTTTTGTGTAGTGCGTCGGCCCTTGTTGCTGTCACGTTAGTGTTGAGTAGATTTGATTTTGTGGGGTTAATCTTAAAGTTCGAGAGCCATCCGTAGATTTCAAATTCTCGTATTATATTGGGAAGGGTTGTCTCGGGCAGGGAAACGAAGAAGATCAGGCCGCCTGCTTGACATTACAGACACACATTCAAGTAAGACACTTGTGTGTCGAGTCTCCTGTCACGAGTCCTCTGATATCTGGCCTACATGAACGGTTCCAGGGCCAATACGAACAGCAAAGGTGAAAGTGGGCAACCTTGTCTGGTCCCATTATGGATGTGGAATGAATCCGTGTAAGTTCCGTTAATGCAGACCTTAAACGATGGATCAGTATATAGTGCGGTAATCCATTTATACATATTCGGCCCCATTCCTAGGGCTCAGAGGGTGTTGAATAGGAAATCCCAGCTTACTCTGTCGAAGGCCTTCTCCACATCAGTTGAAAGCAAGAGAAGGTTTGTGTTGGTCTGCTGAGCGTGGTGGATCAGGGACAGGGTCCTGGCGATGTTGTCCCTTGCCTCCCTATGCAGAATAAACCCCACTTGGTCTGGTTTCACGAGGGATGGCAGGTAGGGTGTCAGCCTGGATGTTAAGATCTTAGCGAAGAGCTTTATGTCGCAGTTCACAAGGGAGATTGGCCGGTAGTTGGCACAGTTCTCCTTGTCCTTCCCTTCCTTAGGTATCAGGGTTATGTTTGCCTCGAGTGTCTGGGAGGTAACATTCTGTCCTTGGGTCAGAGAGTTGTAGGCGGACAGGAAATGTGGGGACAAGACCTCCGAGAACAGTTTATAATATCGTATTGTTAATCCATCAGGGCCCGGGCTCTTGCCTGGTTTCGACGACTTGATGTCCTGTGCTAATTCCTCCATAGTCAGGGGGGCTTCCAGCACCTCGGACGCGGTCTCCGGGAGTTTTGTATACAGGTTATCGGCCAGATAAGTTTGTATGGCGTCGGTGGTCTGTGGTGAGCCTGTGGATAAGTTCTTCGAGTACAGGTTTTTGAAGTAGTTTCTTGCTACTTCGGCAATGCGAATTGGCATCTTCTGTGGTTGGCCCTGAGTGTCGCGTAGGCCAGTAATATACGTTTTGTTCCGCTTCTTTTTTATAAGTGTGGCGAGGAGTTTGCCGCATTTGTCACTGTTGATGTAAAAGAAAGCTTTAGTGTGCTGAAGGGAGCGTTGGTGAGGTTGTCGGAAGAGAGAGGCTAAGGTGTTTTTTTAATAGGTGATCCAAAATAATTAGTGTCACAAAGCTAAACTAAAGCCTTATCATAGCAGTTATGAGATACGTTAACTAGACTTTTACAACAAACCAGTAATACTATTCAGGACCAGATTTCTGATTAGGCACCAATCTACAGCACTTAGAATGTGCCTTTTTGAGCTCTTTGGGCAGGTGGACAGAGATAACTACCAGGATCCTTGGCCAGTGTAATCTAATCATCTAATCTGTAATTTAATCAGCCTTAATAGTAGACCTGCAGGTAAAGTGATAGATGCTGTCCCAGCTCCTCCAGGGTCTGTGCATGGGGCTGGACAGGAAGAGGAAGGGATCACTTACCATCTGCCCACTAGCAGCCTCTTATACAGGAAATACATTGCAGGAGGAGCGCGGGAAACTGTGAGAGATGCACCATGTATAACCATTCCTGCAGCTCTAATATCATCAGTCTGACTGATCTACAGAAGACAAAGGAGGGTGAGTACTTACATAACCCTTCAAACTCCAGCACCCAAAGCCTAAACCTGAAAACAAACCATCCTATGTTTAATGCCTCTAAAAAACTAAACACCTCATGTACCCAACTCTAACTTTAGGACAGCTCGAACACTTAACTCAATAAACCTAAATAGCCCTTATACTACAACTTTGACCCATCTCAAGCTGTTAATCTTCTTAACACTAAACACCCTATTCAATCTCTTACATTAAACCTCTCCAACCTACTAACATCATCTCTAACCACGCGTGCATTTACACAGCTGCCTACACTCACTATTCTCATAGAATGAAATACAACACATTACAAGCAGGAATATGGACATACAGACACTGATATGCAGTTGTAAAATATGAATGGTTTTTAGGCCTGCAATGTCAAGTTAAAAAATGAATTATACTTGCTTTATCTGACTTATTAGCAGGGGGCACATTAAAATTTTGCTCCTTACAGACATCTGACATATAAATCCAGCTTGGTCAAAACACCAATGGCCACCTTTTTGTGGGGCAAGGAGAGGACCAGCTCTGGATCAAGCTTAGATGAGTTATGCAGACGTGAGAGCTGTGATCAAGTAACTCTTACAGGGTTATTTACAAAATTTTACAGATTTAAGGCCAAGGTAGCTGAACTACAAGCATAGCTGATTTTGAGAATTTTTCCAGTTTGGCTATTTTGACTTTATTTTTTAACTTACTTTGAATTCACTCTGGATTCTCAGTAGCCAGAGCTAGCCACCTTGAAGAACAATTGATTGACCAGTGGGAGAAAAGCCTTTTTAAAATAGGTTTTCCTCACAATCTATACATTTGCTAACAAAACTGCTAGCACAACGTATACATGTAATGTAATACTCTTTTTAACCCCTTAAGGACACATGACATGTGTAACATGTCATGATTCCCTTTTATTCCAGAAGTTTGGCCCTTAAGGGGTTAAAGAGCGAAAGTTGTTTTGGGCACTACAGGTGCCCTTTGTAGTAATACATACAGCAAGGATCTGCTCAAGGCAAAATGTAAAGTTCATCCCCTCTGATGTGAGTAAAAGAACACTGAACATAATATTTTATTATTACTGACATTTAATATGCAAGAATTACCATGAGACACATTGTATCAACATGCTAGGTCCGACAATCGAGTCCACTTTAGGAACATTCAGGGTCATTTACTACAGTGAGAGCTGCCAGGAATTCAGATTCGATTTGAAATTTAGGGACAAAGCTCTCTCTCTCTCGCCCTCAACTCTACATACGAAGTTCCAAAACACACATTAAAAATTAACACCTCCATTCTTCACATAGGGATGGTGAACGATGCCAAGAAAATTCATTTTGTTTGTAAATTCCATAGAAATGACAGTTTCCCTTTAAAGGTGAACTGTCACGTCCCAGTATAGTGAATAATTTGTTTACTTATCCCTGTAAGTAATATATCTAGGTTTGGTAGGCCTAAAAATAAAATGAAATGTAGAAATCCACAGTGTGGAATCTACCTCAATCCTGGAACTGAGCGCCTCGGTCTTTGACATTGTAATGTCAATTGTTAAATCTTTAAAACACATTTAAAGGACAACTTGGCATCACCTGAAAAGGGTTACCATTATTTTTAGGTAATTTTCAATCTTCTATTCAATGGTATAATGTTATTTGTATATATATTTTTTTAATTGATGAATCAAACACTTATTTATTTGTGGTATTAAGTGAGAATTCAAAGTGAATTGAAAGATAATTTAAAATGTAAGACTAAAGTAGCTGAACTGAAAGCATAATTAAGTTTTGTTTCCATTTGACTATTTAAAAAAAAAAGTTTTTAAAATTATTAATTTAAGTACAGGCAAGCAAGTACAACAATGTTGGTTTTATCAGCATATGTCAGGATAGTGTTTTCAAAGGCCTGCAGGTTTTTAGAGTATATTTAAAATAGAATATATATATTTAAAATATGTAATATATCTCTCAGCAAGAGGTCAGTGCTAGGTTTAGAGTTTGGCCAATGCTTTCAGTCCATTACCAGCTAGATAAACCTTCCGCATACTGTGAAAACAGATGTGGAATGGTTGGAAGGCAATAGAAAGCAAGGAGGCAGTGGTGTAGCGGTGTCCCTGACCCAACTTCAGGTTGCAAAACAGTTTGACCTCTGAAGATAAGACTGTGTCCAGACACTCCTGGTCCCATAACAACTTAAATGTACTTGAGATGTTATTGGGGTGCGGGTTCTGCTTTAAGTTTATAAAAATATAAAAACCTTGTATGACATTTTTGATTCACGGTTGCACACCCTAATGAAATATGCTGCATAAGGTCACAAACATGACAATAAAATCCAGCTTACATTTACATATATTTGTTAAGTGCAGATTTATTGAGTGGCTGCGTGCTATAAATGTGGTAAATGGGATCCCTAATATAACAAAACAAAAACGCGATATGAGTTGGAAGGCAGAGTTCCGACAGAATTCTCATCTTTCCACTCTTTTGATCACTATACTTCTCCCATGGTGCCCAAATCTTATGGAATGTGGATAATGTGACATGTGATGTCACTTGTTCATAAGGTAAGTGTTTTTAATCTTGGAAATGACCTGTGCTAATGGTGGGACCTCAGGTTGCAGCTACGACTCAGCCATACACTTGTGTTCTGCTAGGTTAAGCATATGAAATATTCTGCTCCTTTGTGTCCATTTTGGCTATTTTGAACTTAAATTTTAAATTTTAATTATCACTTTAGTTAATAGTCCTGTGAATTTCCTAAAGGTTGAAAAAAATAATCAAGTTGGAAAGTAAGCTGGAGTAGATAAATTGTCCAGGTTGACTATTTAGATTTAAAACTGTACACCTATTTTTAAGTTACAACATTTCCTGGCCCTTATTCTGTGTTGGCAAACTGAACTAGATTTGGTTCATTTGAAATATTTTTAGAATTCAGGAAGAAAGAAGCTTTAATAGGATTGTTTTTGCTATAGTATTAATGCATAATTGTATGTACCTTCCTGTTAGGGCCACACATAGACTAAACTTGTTCTATACACTTGTATGGCTTGTGATGATTGTAGGAGTTATTTCAGTAGTCTGCGAGACAGGATGCAGATTCAGACTACGGAAATTCTAAAGACAAGGCATTTTGCAAATGGAAGGGTCAAGTCAGTGCTGAACTTGTGACATATTATTTTTGTTTTGGAGCAGATATATATTATTAATTTGTACTCTTTGCTATTATTTCCCGTTCTGATTTATATAACCCTCTGTGTGACCCAGCAACACTTGTATAAAGTTAGTCTGATTGGACAGACTGTGTTGGTTCATACGGTCTGCGGATTTCAAGCATTTTTACAAAAATTCACAAACATTAGCTGCTTTTTTCTGAACGTTTAAAGGAACACTACACACACACACACACACACACACACACACAAAGCCCTTTAGCTTGCTAAAGGCAGGGCTCGAGTCTTGCACGAATGCGTGGGAACGGCGTTCCTGCACTTTTTTTTACAGCAGGAACGCCCGTTGCTCCTGCAGGCACTCAGGGGGCAGCAAAAAATGCCACCCCAAATGCCCCCCGTGTTCACCCTGTCATGGGGGGGCCCAGAGGTGGCCTGATGGCCACCTGATGGATCCCCCAGGTGGGCACCTGTGTCCTTGTCAGACGCGGCGAGGGAGCTGTGTTCTCTCTGATCTGCCCCCTCACGTGCCGTTTGCTGATGCCGTCATATTCCGTCTCCCAGCATCAGTAGACAGCCCGCGTGGCGCGAGGGAGCAGAGCTGGGAGAACACAGCTCCCTCACCGCGTCTGACAGGGAGACAGGAGCCTGCTGCACTGAAGCCCCACTGGACCCCAGGGACAGGTCCACGCCAGCTCTCCTGGACATTTTTAAATTTAAAAAAATAATAAATTGTGTGTCTGTGAGTGTATTTCTGTGTATGTGTGAGTGTCTGACAATGTGTGTGTGTCTGTGAATATGTGTGTGTGTGTGTCTCTATGTGTGTGTCTGTCTGTGTGTGTGTGTGAGAGTGTGTGTGTGTCTGTCTGTGTGTGTATGTGTGTGCGTGTCTGTATGTATGTGTGTGTGTGTGTGTGTGTGTGTCTGTGAGTGTGTGTCTGTGTGTGTCTGAGCATGGGGGTAGGAGGGGGTGGATCTTGGGTGAGTTCCCACACTTTATTCCCCAGGACTTGACCCCTGGCTAAAAGGCTTTATGTGGGAAAAGTGTAACCACTTTTTAAAAAATGTTTTAAACCAGAAACTTTCAACCAGAAAATGGAGATTATTCGGCAACCCCTAATCCCCCCATCACTGCATACTGCCGCAGCTGACTTATCCCTGAATACTGCATGCATTAATATTTAAACTGCCTTTTCCCTGATTGTTGTAACTGTCAGTGCTCTCAGTAACCCAGGCAATGGACACTACATGTATCAATGCTGTTACTTCTTTTACATCTGTAAATATTGCACAGGACACTCCAGGACTGGTTTTCCCTTTGTACGGCATGCATCAGCATTGTTACTGCCCTTTCCCTGCACGCATCAGCAAAAACAGGAGGTAACACAATGCACAGCTTAGTAGATAAAGCCCACTTATGGAACCACAATTTTATTCAAAGTGCATACGATAGACAAACCTTTTGTGACCCCTGTCCCTTCAGTGCACAAATGCCCTTCATTCATTCATCAGTCTCCCAGATGAGGGACACCAGGGAACTTAAGCAGGAGAAAAAATTGTGACTGCCCCACTAATAATGAGACAGTTGGGAGGCATGCATCATGCCTGAACAGTGGCGGAACTACCGCTGACCCCTGTGACTGGTGTGTGTGCCGGCTATATAACACTGCCCCAGCTTGCACGGTATAATCGCTGGGGCTGTGCATTCAGGGGTCCATCGGGTGGCCCATGCTGTTAGGGCCACTCGATGGCAATGATTATCCAGGGGGCTGGTCAGCACTGTGGTGCTTTAACAGCGCGACTGGGCCCCCTTTGATGATCTCAGAGCTGGGAGGAACTGACTGCCCTGGTCACTTCCTCCCAGCAATCACTGTGCCGCAAGGGAAGAGGAAGAAGAGTAGGGAGTCAGAGTGGGAACTCTGACTCCCATCAGCCTGAGCTACTGCAGCCCAGGGAAAGTCACCCACCTGCACCTAAACATTAGGAAACCGGAAGGTGACTAAAACATTTTGCATGTGTGTCTGTATGTATGTTTCTCTGTGTGTGTGTGTGTGCATGTGTGTCTATATGTGTGCTTGTATTTGTATGTATGTGTGTGTGTTGTGTGTCTGTGTGTATATCTATGTATATATGTTTGTGTGTCTGCATGTGTATCTGTTTGTCTGCATGTGTGGGGGGGACATATGAGTGGGGAGGGGGATAGCGTGGAATAGGCGTATGTGGGCCCCCAGGGCAATTTTTGCACCGGGGCCCGTGATTTCTAGTCTCTGTGCCTGAATATTGTCTGAATCAGTTATGTTTCTCCCTAATCCATTAATACCCCATGCATCTGTACCTTTGCTGCATTGGCTATGAATACGGCATGAATAAATACTCTACTGCCTAATGCACTGAAAGAAAACTATAATTTGCATTACTGAATTTAAAAGATTATATATAAGATAGATATGGTGTCTATTAGTTTATGAGTAAATGTATATTAATGAATCCTTTTTTATTCATCTCCAGCTGTCTTTAGACAGAAGCGCAGCTTATCTGCTAAGACTCTGCATACTGTGAAGGTCTAAGCCATATCAGAATGCATTTTAAGGCATTCATGAGTTGAACATGATGTCCATGTACACACAGTACTGATTATCTTATCTATTTTGTTTGGCTAGAGATAGGACTTAAGATGGCAGCCCAATATACCAAAGGTAAACCTGAATATATTTTGAAAATAGGTATTTATTTTAATGTATGCATTACAAATTAATAAACATTCCCCATAGTGCATGTAATCCTTTATTTGAAATAATAAAAATGACTACAGTTTTCCTTTTATTCCACGTGTTTCACTACTGTTACTGCCTTATTCCAGTATACTGTGCGCATCATTGCTTTTCTTCCCTTAAGTCTCACCTCTAGCATCAATGTCTGAGCATAATCAAAGCTAAGTTCTTTCCCATTAAATTAAATAATGAAAGCTCATAAAATATTAATTGTTTCCCAGACTAAAAGTGATTTACCGAAATGCTCTAATTTTGCAAACTTGTGAAGAGATCAGAGGCTTTTAGCATATACTATAAGTCACAACAAAGAAAACATTTACAGGAAATGTTTAACTGATTCTGTTGCGTACATACTTATCAGAAAGTTACAAAAATGCCAGTGAATGACCAGGAAACATGAAAATGAGCTAAGCAAAGGTTTGCAAACTGACAGATATGCAGTTTCCTGGGTGTGTTGTTTTACAAATCATTAATTTTCAATTACTCTAGAGCTGATTATGATAGCAGTGACAGCGGGCAGGTAGTACTCACAGGTGAGAAGATACAAATATATGATCCCAAAGATACCATGATGGATATTAATAAAGCTTTATGTACATTTTATATTGAGAAATGTACGGTACTCACAGACACATTGACAGCAGCTGTATCAAATTCACCATCTTTACAACTTTGACTATGAAAAGAATTGTTGGCAACTGTATCTGTCAGCTAAAAAAGTTCATATGTAGGATTGTAAAAGATCACTTCAGTATTGAATCAGGCATTCCCAAGCTTTCCTTTAATCTGGTCTATTTGGTGAGATTGTCAACCTTGAAAGTTCTAGAACAACCAGGGCTTTCATAGAGCGGGTGTTGGCTGAGGAGATAAAACAAAAATAGATCAAATTGATCAAAGGGAAAGATCAAACATATTATCTTTCTCCAGCATGTCTAGGATGTTATGCAGAGGAGGGCTGGCAGCCTTAGGCCTGTGGGGAAAATCCAGTCAAGTGGCCCATTGCACCACCGAATCAGCTCACCATCCATGCCACACACTAGCAAACGCGCATACACACACACAGACAGACAGACAAACTGTTACAGACATACTGACACACACACACTTTACACTTTTAAAGAAATTTTGCTATGTTTGCTGGTACCTTTCCTGGGGTCCAGTGTGCTGGTTAGGGTGTCTGTCTATGCTTGCTGGCTCTCACACTGCCTCTCTCCCACATGGCTCATCGTCTGTCACTGTGGAAGGAAGATATTCACGGTTTCACTTCCTCCCATTCTGCCGTAAAGGGGCTGAAACATGCTCACAGGGGGGCCCTAAGTGTAGGGGCCATCCGGTGGGTCCCTTAGTGTGTGGGCCCCGGTGCAGCTTCAATACCAGCACCACGGGCCCAGGGGGGGGGGGACATTTTTATTTTCTGGCTGGAAAGATGTAGGTCGTCCTGGGGGGTAATTATCTCCCTGCCCCCCAGTCCCAGCCCACCCCTGATGGTATGCTACGGCGCTAAGCATATATTGGCATTCCTTCTTTAATTTCTTACTGTGTTGCATGTTTTGTTTTGTTTTTTGTGTCTTGGCTGATCTTGAATAAACAAATACATACAATTAAAACGAAAAAAGTACTGAAAGCCCACAATCCTATCATTACATCAGAATGGAGTCTCCCATTCCCCATCTTTCCAATCACGTGTTCTCTTACAGAAGACGAGACAGAATATGGTCAGAATATTTGCACAGTATTGTTACCTGTGAATAAAAATTATTCACAATAAACAAAATAAATAAAGGGAAAATAAATACACTTTTTTTTTTTTAAAGTAACATTTGAGATTACTTTTAAATCATTTTAAAACAAATTAGTGAAGTATTTCAGAACATTTTTTTAAAATCTGTGTGTCATTTATAAAAAGAGACAGACGGTTAAACAATAATGAAATAGATCCACTTTCTTTTCTGTATATCTAAATGTGTAGATGAAATAGGGTATAAACCCATAATCCATATTGTACATAATCCAAGCTTCACAAATTATTAAACAAGATATGCCATTAAGTCATCTCCACTAGCTAACAAAAAATAAAACTACTTAACCAATACACACCCTCAAAAACAGATCATATCTTACTAGCTACGTTGAGGTCAACATCACAAACTAAAACTAGAAAGGGACTTTAAATGTTACTCAGTATTCAGCTATGGACTCATTACGTAGGCCTATATACATACTGTCCACATTGATTCACCGTTCCACTAAATATCCCTGAGGCTTCTAGGAAAATTGCATACAAACATAAAAATAAGCACTGTGCACAAACTCCAACTACTCCTTGGCGGCAGCAATGACTATAGTGCACACCAGCCCAAATATATACATTAAAAACCAAAAGACAAGTTGCTTACGCACTATCCTGAATCCCTATGTATATTTGAATAACTGGAGGTTTCTTATGATCACTTCAATAGCAATTCAAGTGTCAGCTCATCTGCCACGTCAAGGCAAAACCTGTTAGGTGAGTCCTAAACCAACATATAACCTTGTAGGTCACACCTAAAAGGTTTTGCCTTGATGTGGCAGATAAGCTTATGCTTAAATGGTCATTGGAGTAATGCAAAAAAAAAAAAATAATCCAGCTATTCAAGTGTACATAGGGATTTGGGATAGTGCGCAAGTAACTTTTTCCTATGGAAAATAGTAAAGTTTATACATCTCGCACCTTTGTAATGTATGGAAAAAATATTCTTTTACTCCTTCTCCCTCACAACACTTACTATTTATTAACCGGTATTACTCACCTATCAACATTTGTAATCGTCAACCCACCAAAAAAAACAAAAACCACTCAAATGCAAACTTGTGTCAAGTAAAATCCCCAAATAGTAGAATATTAAGTTCTCCATCACTCTGATCCTGTATTGGTGACAAGGCTTTTGCCCAAATGTTTGCAAGGTTCTTTTGTTTCAATGATCATTGCTTTGAGCAACATAGTGCACATAATATTCCATTTAATGCTGGTAGAAGGGTACTCTCTTTACAATACATAAGTCTAAGAGAAATAAACCATTTGCAATATTAGGAACGCAGTAGCAAAAAAAGGGACTAGACATGGTTTTCTCTGAAGGTGCCTGCCACTCTATGACATGGAAGTTTTATTAGTACTAGAGTCACATGAGCAGCCCAAGGCATGATGCGCTGGGTAACAATCTTACATTTGTTAGATTAGGATTATTGAGAATTAAGGAAGCTCGAGTAAAAAAACAAAACATTGCTGCTGAGAAACAGTGAAAATTAGTGAATGGATAAATGGCTCTAGTAGAGGAGATAATGGTTGGGTTTTGGTAAGTATGTGATAATGACAGCTGCAACCTGCAGGTAATAGGATGTGTCAAAAAGAGAAGGAGCAAGTCAAAGATGTAACCTAGTTTGTGAAATACGGTCGAGGGGATGCTGAGATTGTGCAGTGAAAGTATCAATGAAAATATATCAGATAAGCAAAGTTCAGTGAAGACCTAAGGATATGTCAGAATAATTAAATTGCCATTGATAATTAAAAATACAGAAAACTAGCAAAAGCTCTGCTTACATTTTGAAAACCGTAATTAAAGTAAAGATACCACCTCTATTATTTCCTTTTCCAAATAGTTTGTAAGGATTTATCAGAATTTATTAAAATAGAAATTAATAGATAAATATATTCACAGCTGCAGGAAAATGAGAAACGAACAAAGTATGTGATTATGCAGCGTTTGTATCCAAGGGCCTATTAAAACAGCTTTGCAAGTAAAGCCAAGGTGTAATAACTTCATTTAACAAATGTAGACGGTATGTCAATCTATGCTTTGAGTAATTAAATGGCTATCTTTCATTTTCATTATGACAGCTGTTCTCTTCAATTTAACAAGATAAGTGTGAAATGTTTGTAACTGACGTTTTTCTTGATTAATCAGTATACCCAGTAAGTATTTTTTTTGCTGGAAGAACTTTGCCTACGATCAGCCACAAAGCATAGATTCAGATACATAAGATAAGAGGAGGGTGGTGACCCCAGAGATTGCATTTCATGCTTGGTTTGGGATACACCTGAGCAAACATGCACACACCCTGTCATTCCCTCTCCATGAAGATGAAAATAGTACCTGGCTTCCTACCATTTTGTGGGAATGTATGCAAATATTTGAATGGATGCAAGATTTTGTGAAAGTGCGCACTATAACTCAACAAAAACACAGGATGCTACCTTTTGTAATAATCTTCTAGAATGCAGAACATACAATTAACGTATACAAAAATGCACAACAAAATATTCTAAAACACAAGTACAACATCATGTTTAAGGAACACTATAGGTGCCATGTGCTTCCCATGTTAAGTCTGCAGTTGAAAACCTTTCCATTCTTCAGGAATGGCAATGTTTACAGTGCAGGGTTAACCTGCTTCTAGTAACAGAGGTTAGAGGGACAGTTTAGTGTTAGGAAAACAAAGATGTATTCATAACACATAGAGTGCTAATTTAACGATTTATGTTTAGAATACAGGAACATCACAGGCCCCTATAATACTTCAACTTGCTAAAGTGCTTTATGCTCGAAGAGTGTGTCCTCTTAAATACAACAATTGCCAAGAGCACCTGCCTTGCAAAGCTTATGGAGCTGCTTTGAAAAGTCTATGATTGTGCAGTCACAGAACGTCTTGGCCAGGAAAGAAGGCTGCAGACATTAGAACTGCAGCTTTTGCAAAATGTTTTGAGATATACCCTCAATGAAAATGCATAATTATATACATGCGTGTTTTCATTGTGTGTGTGTGTGTGTGTGGGGGGGGGGGGTATCTACTAACCAGTGATTGATTTATTGTATTTTGGCAGTGGGTTGACCATTTAATTAAGGGATTTGACTAAGAATTCTGTATATATACCAATCCTGCTTCAGTTCTGATCTAGAAAAATATTATATATTCACTATGGAATAGAGAAAATAATAGCTGGTATATCTTGGAAAGTATTCTGATATTAAAATATTCAGAGTACATGTTAATTTAGACTGATGTTTCCACTTCAAAAATGCACTCATTAAAAAGGCTTTACTTCGAGGAAGGCTAAATATTTTAAATATAGCTACATATTTAATGGCTTTAGCTGTGACATGGATCAATATGGTTTAAGGATTGAGACCATTGAAGAACCATAGTTAGTAAATGACTGATTTTCTGCAACATGAGTAATGTGTACTAAGTCAACAGACAAATATTCCTTGGAAGAATAAACTAATTGTCATTGAGGAAAACTCATGGTGTTAATATCTGACTATGTCACAAGAAGACAGCATTATTAATCTGTCTTTAGATTGTGAGCGCATTTGGGAAGGACCTTTGTCACCTTCTATTCCTGTATGACAAACATGTTTTGATAGAATTATATATTTGACAACTATTGTACAGCCCTGTTGAATATGACGGTGCTATATAATTAGTTGTCATTTTTGTGATTGTTATAATCTACAGCTACAGTCTTGGTTTAAGAAGCATTGGCTTTCACTTAATATTATAACAAAAAAATCAATGCAATAATATTGTATTCTAGATAAAACTTTGGAATAATTCATATCATGCTGATATGTTAATATTCCATTTCTTTGTTGTTTTCACATGGAACAAATGGGCTGTAACTATTTGATTAGCCTTGGCTGTGTCAACCTTTTCTCAGAACCTTGTTCAGGGCATTCCTATTATAAGGCAAGTATTTTTATTTTATTTTAACAGAGACAGAGAAACAATACAGTCAGTATAGTTTTTTTTTTTTTTAGAAACCTATACACAACCATACAATAATTAAGAGCTATAGTTATACAATAGAAATATGATTACAATGATCTTGTAGTTGTAAGACACAGTAAGTACAGATTATTGTGACCCAAATTTTCGTGCTACCAAGAGATCGAGGAAATTAGGAGAAGGAATGAGGGAGAACCCCACTGCGGCGTTAGCAAGCACTTATTTTTTGAATGGAATTCCATACACATCCCTTAATTTGATTAGTTTATAACTGTACATGTTTTGACAGAATACACAACAAGCAAATTAAAATGTATCGTGTTGTGCTTTTTAAAAAATTTTATTTATTCATTTTCTTTCAAAATATAAATGATTTGGGTTCGTATACATTTTCATACAATGTCTCTTTGCATGTTACAACATTTATGTTTATTCTAGTACTTTGGTTAACAATGCAAAATGTGAAAAAGAAGGCGCAAGCTGCAAGAGAAGTTGCGGAGAGAAAATTGCACTTTATCTCCTCAATTCCTTTCCCAGCATCCCAGCAAATTTATCACAGAAGAGGAAATGTACTAATGGTGGAAGCTGGAAATAGGAGTGTAATTCACACTAAACATTTTATATACCACAGCTGAGCAGTTGTGCTTAGCAGCTATAATTCTGAGTGTGCTCCCAGCCTGTCCCAGTTTAGAAAAGGAAGTCCAAGGTATTGTTCGATACATGAAGTTCTTCACTGCCAGGTGGGACACAATTAGTGGCCCCAGAGTCACAGATAGGTTTATAGGCAGCAACTGAATGATTGCACTGAGCCGCAGTGATTTTTAGTCTCCCTCCAGTATGAAAAGACCCTGGTCAGGTCTTCCTGCATGCCCTTCTACTTAGTCATCATAGTTCAACTTTTCTGTAATCACACAGTACACAGTGCTCCCAGAACCCTCTGCACTGTGTGAGCTCAGAAATCCCTCTGTTGATGTCAGCACTGACATCAGCAGAGGGAATTTCTTCTGAAATGGGATAGGGGTGGAATAAGGGGATGGCTTAGGGTTGGGATAGTAGAAGAATTGTGGGTTGGCTTGTGGGTATTATTAGGGGTTAAATTAAGGATAGGATTATGGGTATGATTAAGGGCTGGATGGGTGGTTTAGGGGAATGGATTAGGGGTAGTGAAAACGAAAAGTGGCAGCATGCTCTTAGTTACATAGCCTGGGGGTGTACTTTCTACAAATATATACTTTTGTGTAGAAGTTTTGGATTCCGTGACTATTATAAAAGTTAGTTTTTTGGAAGTTCTAGCTTTAACACGATAATTTACACCTTGCTGTATTTGTTTTAGAACTTCTAAAAAAATAAGTAGTTTAGGGGATGGATTAGGGGTAGTGAAAATGAAAAGTGGCAACATGTTCTTAGTTACATAGCCTGGGGGTATACTTTCTACAAATATATACTTTTGTGTAGAAGTTTTGGATTCAGTGACTACTATAAAAGTTCGTTTTTTGCAAGTTCTAGCTTTAACACTATAATTTACACCTTGCTGTATTTGTTTTAGAACTTCTAAAAAAATAATTGAAATCCTATACACAGGGCTGTCATCAGAAATTTTGGGGCCCCTGACACAGCTCAAGGTCTGGGCCCCCCGGTGCCTGCACCCGAGTCCACCCAAAGTGCTGCTTCCCCCCTCCCCTGAGTCCGCCCACAGGGATGAGGTGTCTGTACTGATTCTGGTGTGTGTATAGTGGATGTAGAATGTGTGTAGTGGATGCAGAGTTCGTGTGTTAAGTGGATGCAGTGTGTGTTTAACGGATGCAGTGTGTATAGTGGATGCAGATTGTACATTTGTGTAATGTATGAGGTGTATATTAGATGCAGAGTGTGTGTTTGTGTAGTGGATGTAGTGTGTGTTTATAGTGAATGCAGAGTGTGTAGGTGTTTGTGTAGTGGATGTAGTGTTTGTGTGTATTAAATGCGATGTGTATAGTGAATGCAGAGTGTGTGTTTGTGTAGTGGATGTAGTGTGTGTGTAGTGAATGCAGAGTGTGTGTAGTGGATGTAGTGTTTAGTGAATACAGTGTGTGGATGCAGAGTGTGTCTTTGTGTAGTTGATGTAGTGTGTGTATACTGACTACATAGTGTGTGTTTGTGTAGGTACTGCAGAGTGTGTGTTTGTGTTAGGAAGTAGTGTGTGTAGTGATTGCAGAGTGTGTGTTTGTGTAAGGATGTAGTGTGTGTAGTGACTGCACAGTGTGTGTGTGTGTGTTTGTGTAGTGACTCCAGAGTGTGTGTTTGTGTAAGGAAGTAGTGTGTGTAGTGACTGCATAGTGTGTGTTTGTGCAAGGTGTAGTGTGTGTAGTGACTGCAGAGTGTATGTTTGTGTAAGGATGTAGTGTGTGTAAATTCTAGTGAATATTGTGTGTAGATGTTAGTGTATAGTTTGTATAAATGTTAGTGAATAGTGTGTGTAAATGTTAGTGTATAGTGTGTGTAAATTTTAGTGAATAGTGTGTGTGTAAATGTTAGTAAATAGTGTGTGTAATTGTGTTAGTGAATAGTGTGTGTAAATGTTAGTGTATAGTGTGTGTAAATGTTAGTGTATAGTGTGTAAATGTTAGTGAATAGTGTGTAAATGTTAGTGAATAGTGTGTGTAAGTGTTAGTGTATAGTGTGTGTAAATGTTAGTGAATAGTGTGTGTAAATGTTAGTGTATAGTGTGTGTAAATGTTAGTGAATAGTGTGTAAATGTTAGTGTATAGTGTGTGTAAATGTTAGTGTATGGTGTGTGTAAATGTTAGTGAATAGTGTGTAAATGTTAGTGAATAGTGTGTGTAAATGTATGGGGCTGCAAAATGTGGGAGGGAAAGCCTACAGGTTTTTTTTTCCCATCCATTAATTGTATTGTTTTATTCCCCCCTCCCTGTATCTCACCTGTGGCCATGGAGGGGGGAGATCACATTGGTTGGAGCCCTGGAGCCAGAGGTCCTGAGGAATGGTGCAGTCCCCGCTACCTGTATTCTGCAGGGGCCCAGCACACTTGAAATATACTGCCCAGATGCTCTGCTCATGGACAGCCACTAGAGGAGCTTCCGCGATTCTCACTGTGAAAATCACAGTGAGAAGACGCTGAATGTCCATAGGAAAGCATTGAGTAATGCTTTCCTATGTGCAGTTTGAATGCGCGCACGGCTCTTGCCACGCATGCGCATTCGGAGCTGAGAGACGGAGCAGGGCGGAGAGATCCCCAGCACCAATGGAGTCCGGCGCTGGAGAAAGGTAAGTGCTTAAGACACACACACTCTCATGAACAGACGCATACACACTAGCTAACAGACACACACATTTACTGACAGACACACACTCAGTGACAGACATACACACACTCACAAAACACACACTCACTAACAGATGCACACAAACTAACACACTCAGTAACAGACACACACAGTAACACTCACTGACACACTCTAACACCAACACACACACACTCTAACACCAACACACACACACTAACACACACTCACACACACTCTAACACTAACACACTAACACACACTCTAACACACACACACACACTTTTTTTTTTAAAATTTCATCCCCCCAGCCTCCCTACCTTTGGAAGTGCTGAGGGGATTCCCTAGGGTCCAATGGTGTCACCCCAGGGAAGAAGATGTCATCTTCCGGCTCTGGAATCAGTGCGGTGCGCGAGGGAGCTGAAGACCTCCACACCTGCTTCAACTGCTATTTTGGCGATTTCAAATTGTGTGGATACAACCACTTGTTACTTTGTTGCTATATACGATTACTAGTAACTACTCTCCAATCTTAGTTTTCTAAAGATACTTCATCAGGTTTATTCAAATGGCTATATGACCTACTCTGTATTTGAACAGTATTTTAGCAGCCATTCTTAAATATACCATACAGGCTACATAGATACTTTCCTTTTTAAGTCACCTGCACGCTTGTGTTTTTTCACAGTTTTTTATGTTCACTTTTGCTGAGTTCACATGTTTTGTGCAGTACAATATGGTACTGAATAAAGAGATTTTAATATTTATATTTTCACTCTTGATGTGGGTTAATCCCTGGGGGACTTCTAGAGAACTGATATTCGTGTGCTGTTGGCACTCGTTTTCTCCGTCCTCTCTCTAGCCCCCTGAGGTATCCTTTTTCTCATTATATCTGGCTTAGCTTAAAGTTTGATACTTTGTTACTTGATAGACTTAACGTATAATTTATAGCGTAACTTATCACACAGGATATATGTTTCTTACTGATTTCTATTGGGGAGATTGTGGCCATATGGTACTTGGTTTTCAAACTGGGATTGCATGTTTTAATATTGTGTATATGCAGTACCCTAAAGCTGAATATACACCAGGCTGGTGGACCTTCAATGTACCAGGATACTTGATACTGGATAGACACTGGCCTGACTTGTAACATACAATGACATGGCTAGTATGTGACATGGACAACGACCCAGGATGGCATGACATACCTTGGGTCTTTAGGACTGACTCATACTCTGTCAGGCCTGAGAATGGCCTGTTTTGAACCAAGGTGCAAAGTAGGCAGGACCGGTAGTCAACCACTATACACTAACATATCATTCTTAGGCTGATGCTGACGCAACTTATAATGTACAATGACAAAGCTAATATACATTAACAATGGTTTGTTAGACGGGTGGTACTGACATAATGTTGGATATGTCTTATCACCTAACCCTCCCTCAGCATTGCATACCCTTTATCTAAACTCCCTTGGTCCAACTCTCCATTATACTTCTTCCTACCCCTTAATCAGGACCAAACCGGTACCATGAAAGAACCCTTACGCCTCCATCTAACATGTGCTCATGAAGAGACACTGGACTGGCCCTATTCCGGGTCACACTAATTCCCACTGGAGGAGGCTTGAAATAAGAGCCAGGTCGACCCTGATCAGCTTCGGGTCTCCTGCTGATAAACAACACCTCTACGAAACACACCCATAGACAGTTAATTGTGATTGGCCTGGGGAGTACCTAAACCAACGGAGACCTCTACAAACACCACACTAGTGTTGGCCTCAGAACACCTGAATGTAAGGTCAGGTACATTTTACTGCATCTCTCACCCTATGTGATTACGCTATGTCAAGTGAATATAACTCCATCCAACAAAAGGCCTTCAGGACTCTTGGAGTCTAGAGCAGATAGCACACTTATGAGTCTGCTAGTTTAATTCAAACAAGTTTAACAAGGTCTTACCCAAACTTATATCTTAATTGCTGGTTTTGTTTTTAGAGCCTAACAATTTGCAAATTTGAGTCATAATGGGGACAATGGAGGCTTTGAATTGGGTCTTGTTATATAAGTGCTACATTGCACTGGTGGCGTGGCACTCTCTAACCATCTCGCTCCAAGCGCAGCAGTTTTTGCAGTCTTTGCTACAACCCCCATTAGACTTTGGTTCCACTACTTTAGGTGAGTGTGCATCCTTGTCCTAACACCACAACAACAAGAACTTTGTAAGTTTTTGTATACTGTTTTCTCACCCAACCCCACTCATCCCACTACACTGCCCCCCTCCCTGGCCACCCAGGAAACCTTCCTTATCTATGTCTACAACCCTCCTGTTGAAGGAAAGAGTAAAACATGGGGGGGAAATGGCCTTTACTCCGCACACTCACTGACCATACTCTCTGTAAATACACTGGCTGAATACCCCAGAGAAGAGATCACGTGCACTATGAGACTTTACAGCAAAGCAAACATCGCAATATTTGAGGTCTGTTCTGGTGGATTGGTAGGTCCATTTCATTTTTGTTAAATTCTGTCCCATACATATACATTTGCTAACATCTACTGCCCTACAAGGCCCAACAATACTTTTTGTCCAAAATACTTGCATAAATTGCAAGACTTTACAGAGGCATGCTGATCTTTTGAGTGGATCTTAACAATGTCTTAGACCCATTACTGGTCATCCCTGCTCCCTAATGAGACCTTACAGAAGACCCGAGCCTTACTTCACTCACACCAACTGGCTGACTGCTAGAGAACTACCCACTATGATGAACGTGACTTCACTAATTTCTCCCAACCACATAACTCATACTCTAGAAACATCTTCTTTGTGATGCATTACCACCTTCCCCAACTGGTTTCGACTACCACAGGAACCGCCACGTGGGCTGACCACCCACCAATCACAGTACAAATTACCTCCCCAGCCCACAGTCCAAGCACCTCCTCTTGAAGGCTACATGACTGCCTTATTCCACAGCAACACATCCTTGATGAGGCCCAACTACACTATCCAATTAAAAAAATGACACTGAACAGATGGCCCTGCTCATAGTGTGGGAAGCACGCATATGTATCAGTAGGGGTTTCTGCCTCAAGAAAGGATCAACCATTAAGACACAATGAGGGAGGCAGACCTAAAAAAAATAAAAGCACATGCCATCCTTTCAATCAGGTCACCCTCACAGGACTCCAGAGGGATTTATAAGAGTTATGATATAACTACAGGGAGTGCAGAATTATTAGGCAAGTTGTATTTTTGAGGATTAATTTTATTATTGAACAACCATGTTCTCAATGAACCCAAAAAACTCATTAATATCAAAGCTGAATATTTTTGGAAGTAGTTTTTAGTTTGTTTTTAGTTATAGCTATGTTAGGGGGATATCTGTGTGTGCAGGTGACTATTACTGTGCATAATTATTAGGCAACTTAACAAAAACAAATATATACCCATTTCAATTATTTATTATTACCAGTGAAACCAATATAACATCTCAACATTCACAAATATACATTTCTGACATTCAAAAACAAAACAAAAACAAATCAGTGACCAATATAGCCACCTTTCTTTGCAAGGACACTCAAAAGCCTGCCATCCATGGATTCTGTCAGTGTTTTGATCTGTTCACCATCAACATTGCGTGCAGCAGCAACCACAGCCTCCCAGACACTGTTCAGAGAGGTGTACTGTTTTCCCTCCTTGTAAATCTCACATTTGATGATGGACCACAGGTTCTCAATGGGGTTCAGATCAGGTGAACAAGGAGGCCATGTCATTAGATTTTCTTCTTTTATACCCTTTCTTGCCAGCCACGCTGTGGAGTACTTGGACGTGTGATGGAGCATTGTCCTGCATGAAAATCATGTTTTTCTTGAAGGATGCAGACTTCTTCCTGTACCACTGCTTGAAGAAGGTGTCTTCCAGGAACTGGCAGTAGGACTGGGAGTTGAGCTTGACTCCATCCTCAACCCGAAAAGGCCCCACAAGCTCATCTTTGATGATACCAGCCCAAACCAGTACTCCACCTCCACCTTGCTGGCGTCTGAGTCGGACTGGAGCTCTCTGCCCTTTACCAATCCAGCCACGGGCCCATCCATCTGGCCCATCAAGACTCACTCTCATTTCATCAGTCCATAAAACCTTAGAAAAATCAGTCTTGAGATATTTCTTGGCCCAGTCTTGACGTTTCAGCTTGTGTGTCTTGTTCAGTGGTGGTCGTCTTTCAGCCTTTCTTACCTTGGCCATGTCTCTGAGTATTGCACACCTTGTGCTTTTGGGCACTCCAGTGATGTTGCAGCTCTGAAATATGGCCAAACTGGTGGCAAGTGGCATCGTGGCAGCTGCACGCTTAACTTTTCTCAGTTCATGGGCAGTTATTTTACGCCTTGGTTTTTCCACACGCTTCTTGCGACCCTGTTGACTATTTTGAATGAAACGCTTGATTGTTCGATGATCACGCTTCAGAAGCTTTGCAATTTAAGAGTGCTGCATCCCTCTGCAAGATATCTCACTATTTTTGACTTTTCTAAGCCTGTCAAGTCCTTCTTTTGACCCATTTTGCCAAAGGAAAGGAAGTTGCCTAATAATTATGCACACCTGATATAGGGTGTTGATGTCATTAGACCACACCCCTTCTCATTACAGAGATGCACATCACCTAATATGCTTAATTGGTAGTAGGCTTTCGAGCCTATACAGCTTGGAGTAAGACAACATGCATAAAGAGGATGATGTGGTCAAAATACTCATTTGCCTAATAATTCTGCACTCCCTGTACACCTACATGATTAATAAACAAAGATGCAAAACTTACATATTTTGCATACATTACAGACACAATAAGCCGTTACCTCCCACCGGAGATTTTGGCTGCAGAATGCACCTATTTATCATACATTTATAGCCTACCCCAACCAATTACTCACACTGATAAATGATATTTACATCTTACAATGTAAAAAATACTCTAGACCCAGAGGTCATCACCCAGATGTACGATTCACAAAGGAAACCAGTTAGAACCTCAAAAGGTGGGCAAATTCTGAGCCCTAGATGGCCAACCACTTTGATAATATAAAAATTTTGCGGACACACTATACCCTGAATTTATAAGGGTGTTAAGCTTAACCCGAGATGGCCACTATATCCCAAGTCAGGCGCTAGCAGCCAATGTTACTATCCTACACAAAGAAATCAATGACAGTGAGCACTGTAAGAACAGGCCCATTGCATGCCCTTATATATTGCGACTTAAAGCTATTCGCTATGATCACTGCTTCAAGATTCCAGCGTCCCCTCCTGTCCCTGATTCATGCAGATCAAATGGGATTTATATCCATTAGGGAATCCCGTAATAACCCCACCAGAACACTAACCATAATGCCTAGGAAAGTGGGACAAACCGAGGGCTTTTTCCTCTGGTCTACGGATGATGAGAGGCCTTTGATTGAGTGAGTTGATGAGTTTTAATTGGGTATATCTATTTAGCACTCTACAACACATGGGAAACAGGTGATCAAGATGAATCTCTTCCTCGCCTTCTTTACGTCTTTCAGACCATTTACATTGGAATACCGCATTACAATCAATGCTGATGTGGTACCTCTGGCAGGGAAACAATTTGACAAGTTGGCTATTCTGAAGCGCAGAGGTGGAGTGGCACTTACAGACTTTAAAACATATATTACACAGCCTGCCACTTGGTTTTAGTCACAGAATGGGCCAAGACAGATTATTGATTATGGAAAACAATTGATGAAGGAATGGTGGGAACCCCAATGTCTATTCTATTGTGGCTTGCGCCATCACGGTGTGGGGGATTAAAGGGCAATAGCCAATTTGTATATGCTTCTCTATGAATCTGGCACTCCACAGCTCAAAAATACAGGCTCTAGACAGGTTTGCTGTGTTTTGGTTTTCATACAGGGGAATCTCGAACTCTACTATTGTTGCACATTTCTTTTTGGTTTTGCCAGACTAACCTTTTACTGCATTGATGGACCTGCAAATCCAACTGTCTACATGTTTTATTCAAGACCGAAGAAAACAAAATAAAATATATTCACAACAAAAACTTTAAAAAGATAATAATGTATATTGTTCAGGAATTGATTCTGACAGTTCTAACAGTTTCAACGGTAATGTTGAATTTGCAAAAAGAAGTAGGGAATCTTATCCTGTTTTGCACTCACAACTACCTATTTAGTGCACCCCCAGTGTTATATGAGGATTTGTGTTATCCGTAAAAGATGCTTTCAAGGATGTAATAAAATCAATAAAGCTCTGGAAAAAATAAATGAAAACCTTTTTGAAAAATTAAACATTGCACAAGAGCAGAAAACTAATTTCACAACATTTGTGGACCACAAATTACCCCAAAAAGCCCAGATGAAAATATACACATACAAATATTTAGTAAATAATTAGATTATCGTTGTTATATCTAAGATGTTATAAATACATCTAATAAAATTTATAAACTACAGCCCTACTGGTACACAGTGCTACCATTTTTAAAAATATATATTTTTGTTACATCGTGTTGTGTATGCTGTATTTATCTATTAATAAACTATTTTTAAAACTTAGAATACATTGACATTCCTCTTGTTTTCAATGGAGCACGTAGACACCCTAAGTACACATATAATAGGAAACATACAATACACGAACAGTTAAATGCAGATGTTTTGAACGACATCTGACTGGTGGCAGATCTGATATTCCTCGACAGGTTATGTGGAACTTTGTAGGAGAAAGCTGCTTGGCCGACCACCTTTTTAAATTGGAGATTGACATTAAGAAGCAGGAGGAAGTAGCATGAGGCCGAACGAAGGATATAGGGGTGGGGGAATGAACATACACCGCAAGCAATGTGAGACTTTTCCAGAGATGTAGTTATGACAAGAAAGATGAAGTGTGTGGTTGGATTCAAGAGTTAGCCAATACAGTAGTTTCAACATATCACAAAGATGAGTACTGTGTTTACATTAGAGAACAAAACGATACAAGGAATTATACTGAGTGTGGAGTCACATTTGTTTGCTCTACAAATGCATGAACAGCATCCCCATATTTTATGACTGGCACTAAGAGTTACTGCACTAATCTGTTTTCGTATGGGACAATCTAAGCAGTCTTTATATGTGTACAGGTTTGGGATAAAGTTTGGAGGATAGTTACTCAGTATGTAAGCCATATGAGCTATTAGGATCCAACCACATGCTCATATATTTATATATTTATATTAATCTGTATAGGCAATTTGGGCTATCATTGCAACTGTTTTGCCTGTATTTAAAGAAGTCTTATTTTTAGCAAATCCATATTTCCACCTCTGTGAAATCAATGTTTAACACAGCCTAGAGTTGTGATAAGTTTGATTTTCTTGCACAGGAACAGAGGCGTTGATGGCCCCTCAACCCCTCTGTTCCTGTACGTCCACTTGTCTGGTTACAATTACGTGTCTGTTAGTCCAGCCGTTGTACAGAGCTACGGAATTTGCTGGCGCTATATAAATAATAAAATAATAATGAAGTCCCTGTTGCAAGCTTCATTGTTCAGTAGAAAAGATATTGTAATTATCTGCAAATATGAAGATATTTCCAAAAGTGAAGATTATTTTATCATCAAAAACATCAGCAACATTTCAGCACTTTAAAGTGACATTTTCAAGCCTTAACACCATGCCAAGCAATGCATATATAGGGGCTTTCTATTATGATCCCATATACAATTTTTCAGAGGTGGATGATTACTACTTCTTAACGAATGAGCCTTTCCTATGGTTCTACATATCTTGATATGGGAAAAGGTTTTTTTTTTTTTATCATTAATATTTTTAGAAAATGTTTGTGTGTTTTATTTTAGAATGATAATTTTAATAGAATATAAAACTAACTAGCTAAAGTATCTATAATTAAATCTCAGATATTACCTGTTTGTTGTCAAATACTCAAAACATGACCATCATTATTTCATTTATTTTTATTATGTATTTTTGTTAGCTCGTTTTCCTGGCACTATAGGGTCATTAGGTCCCCCCACCCTCAGGGGGACCCCTTCAGCCACTTACCCTTCTCCAGTGCCGGGCAACTCTCCTCACCCTGCCGACGTCAGATCCAAATGCGCATGCGCAGCACGGGCAGCGTGCGCATTCAAACCGCCCAGCGTCTTCTAAATCTCTTTTTAAATCTCCAGCTTCAAATATTCTGGATGAACTATTTTATTCTTATTGTATTAAAAAAAAAAAACATTATGGAGTGTGTAAACTACCAAACATATTTAAAATGGATATTACATTTGTTTTGTTTGGGATCATAATTTGCTGCTTGAAGGATTTTCCGATGATTGATGTAAATGAAAAATAAATATTCTTTAAAATGTCTCACTACACTAGAAGCTGAATCACTTTTCAGAGTCTTTTAATTGGCTATAAAAAAATTTGGATTTTCCATATACGTTTTCTTTAACTATGACTGCCAGTTTCATTTGCAGAAATAATAGTTACCAAACATATGTGGTTATAATATATGGTTCCCAAGAAGAATTAAAGAGGGGGATGCAGATGTTAAATCTCTAGCCAGCCTCTCTAAAGCTGTGAGCAATGTTTATATTACATTTTGCATATTACTTTTTTTAAGTCACATTCTGTACTTCTCTGTAAAGCTGTGTAAGAGTTACCTTGTAATTTCTGCAAAATGAAGTTTAAGTAATTTTGCTGCATTGTGGGTTCTTAAATAAATTCATAGAGACAAAGTCAAAAGCATTGGCATGCAATCGGCATAAACTGAATAGGGAATGTAGGGTTTATTCAACAGGAATTAAGATCAGGTGTTACTATTTACTAAGTACATTTCTGTTGGATTTTGACTATTTTGTTTTTAATGAAGAAAGACTATGGAAGATTTTCAAGTAGGGTAAGAATTAATCTTTTTTAGGCTATTGCACTGCGCATTGCCGTGTTCCATTTGGACTAAAGGGGAATGGGATTGCTATTATGTACAGTTAGGACTGGTTTGACCCCATAGGCACTAGGTCCAAGGGACTGGGTATCACGTGGACTGCTACCTATATATTATTATTCTCCATCCCGCCATCCATGCATTTAATGGAGGAATATTTAATAAGCCCTCTGTTAATAATATTATTGTCACGTTAGGTATATGAAACACTAAATGCAGCAAAATAATAAGCAAAGCACAGGGAAAACAAATCCAGCAAGGTCAGGCAGTCCAATAGTCAAAATTCCAGGCAGCAAGTATCAGAAACGGAAGGGCAGGCCAGAGGTCAGGTAAATCCAGGAGATCAGCTTTAACACAGGTAGCTTGCAGGATAGTAGCACAGAACAACTGAAGGCTCAGCTGTTCAGAGTTTAAATAGGGTGCCAAATGTAAGGTACACCTATTCTGCCATGCCTCCATAACACCCTATTGCTGAATGGGGCTGTCAGTTTAGAAGGGTTGCCCTGCATTGGCTTCCCATAAGACATAGGGCTCAATATAAAATTCTGGTTCTTTCTTTCAAATCTCTACATAATGCTACTCTCACCTATCTATCCTCCCTAATACACAAGTATGTCCCATCTAGGGTCCTACGCTCTACCGAAGACCTGCGCCTATCCTCTGTTCGTACTCCCACCACTGATGCTCGTATCCATGACTTCTCTAGGGCTGCACCGTTCCTGTGGAACTCTCTTCCCTGTTAGACGCTCACCCAGTCTCCACTCCTTCCAAAAAAATCATTAAAAACTCATTTTTTCACAAAAGCATATCAATTAAGCTGTTAATGGCTCCAAAAACACTAAGTCTTCATTGAATACTATTCTAACAATCTACTTCCCTAATACTTCCCTTACCTTTAGTGTCACTTTACCCCACTGCCTCTAGAATGTAAGCTCATTGAGCAGGGCCCTCAACCCCTCTGTTTCTGTGTGTCAAACTTGTCTGGCTACAATTATGTTTGTTAGTCCACCCATTATAAAGCTCTACGGAGTTTGTTGGCGCTATATAAATATAATAATGGGGGTAAACATATACCTAATTAGTTCCAGTGGCATGGAATGATTGTGCACGTCTCCCAAGCGTCTATCATTGCCTGGGAGACATGACGTGATCAGTGTTTGGAGGTCACAGCCCGCCCCTTGCATTCGTGCATGTGCGCGTTCAGGTGGCCGCAATTCGGAGGTGCTGCCAGAGCAGCGAGGGAACCGAGGTGAGTCTTGACAATTATATTATAGTATTTTATGGCACAGTACACAAGTGGTATAGGCGGTGAAAGTATTCATTTTTTTTTTAATTGGGATATGCCCAGCCTGACTGCAGTAGGCAACTTGATTGGCATTGCTTATCTGGTGGAAACTTATGCTTAGTCCCACTATGGAATGGATTTTCACCAAAAATTTGATCTAAATCTAATGGCTTTGCATTTGCTATGATTTTAATATCATATAAGTATATTAGAAATCTGGCATGATCAACTCATCTGACAGTGAACTGGTAGTCTTGCTGAGATGTAGATTCTTAAAACTGTACCTGTTAGTCGATACAAGGAAGTACACTGTATTACATTGCCATGCCTCAACGGAGATGAAGTTGTAAGATGACAAGTTACGTTATGTTTTCCTCCAATAAATCTTTATAGCTTGAAATGGCACCATTCCACAGACTGGGAAATAGAAGCAAGTAAACATGTAAATTAAAAAATGTGTTAGCCCCGGTTACTCACTGAATAATAAGCAACTTAGTCAACGGAGCCTCTCACATCATCACTTCTCACAGGGAGCATAACATTTTTACTGTTGGTGGTGAAGTTATGCAGGCATAAATAAAATTGTATTGAACTTGATTTTATGGGTGGAAAGGGCTGCATACAGGAAAGAGAAGGTTTCATTTCTAAAATATATATATATACATATATGTTTATGAAAAAATAGTGTTTGCTGTGCCTAAATTATTGAAGTATATGCAGTATGCCAATAATTCAATGTATGTGAAGAATAAGTCTAACAGTACAGTTGCCGAATGATACTCAGTGCCTGCCAATGCTTGTTTGAAAAATTATAGACAAAACTCCTCTCACACTTACATATTTCACTGGGAAACCTATCAGAAATATTCACTGTTAAATACATATTTTTACATTGGTAATGGAGACCCTAATATAAACTATGCTCTAAAATTAAGGAAATCACAACAGACAGGATGTTAAATATGGTCATTCAAATGTCTTTGGGGGAAGGAGAGAACATTAGCCTCAAACATAAGATACAGCGAAGCTTGATCCGCTGTAAGCGGTATTTCTGTCTATGCCATTACTGACATGGCCCACTCCACTTCACTGTCACTATGGCTATCTGGATATTGGTACACACCTGGATTCCAGTAATATTTGCAAGGATTCAGTGAGATCTTACTGGGGTTTTATTCTGGTCTTGGCTAGCCATGTGCCTTATTACCTGTTTAGGCACTTCTTGGCTATGTGCACAGACATTTTACTGTTTGGCCTTTTTGCACAATGTCTACTTTCTTTCTTATTTTCTGAACTACAAGTACAACAGTTTTGAAGCACATTATGAATCCCACTAGGATCCACCTATTCACATAAATCATTATTTTTGTATGTTCCCATTATTGTGTAAGTTACTAGTTCGGAATTCTACACTATTAATCTACAGCGTAGACAGTGCAACAGCTTTAGTTTCTTTCTATTCTCCTACGCCTGTGATGAAAGTAGTTGTCTATAAAAAACTGTTGTGGCTGATAATTTGCCTTATACTGTACACCTAATGGCTTTGAACTAATTTTTTTGATCCTACGTAGTCACTGACATTTGTTGTTTTTTGCTTATTTTGTCTGTATTGCTCACTGACATTGGTATACTTTTAGGTAAATACTCAGTGACATTGGCATAGGCTTTGGTATTTGTACTATATTATTTGTGCTGTACACTGATTTTACTAGATGCATTTGAATTTATTAGAATTAAGTAATAAAAAACTTCCAAAAAGAGTTCAATTAACTCTTGTAAATCGACCATTTGTGTGCATATTTTAATGAAAGATTATATATCATAATATATCACACAACAAACAGGCACGTGACTGGTTTAAAAGCATGCAAAGTTAAAAAACAAAAAAAACCACACCTGACTTAGGCAAAACAATCAAAGTTTAGTTATAAGATACCCTTAGTCCACAGGATGAAACTGGTCGGGACGCAGGAGCACTGTGAGGCTTTACACCTTTCTTCAGTCTGTCACCTTAGCCACTCCATGACAAGATTTTCTACTGCTACAAAGGACCTGTACCCAGAATCAGGAAGTAGACTAAGGACTGATTGGCAACTGGAAACATATTAATATGACCTGCAATAAGGCACTCAGGGGTTGCAATCAGAAGTGTAATCTTATTCTCGTACAATATATAAAAGAAAAAGTTCAAACTCCACCTGAAAACAAATAGGTTAATATCATAAAAAGGTAGGGAGGAGTAATGAAGAGTAAGAGTTCAAGTGAATTGGTGGATATGAGATTGAAGGCCTCTAACCTGCAGGGTGATGGAATGCATTTCCCCAGATAATTAACCAGATAATTATTTATCCTTGGTCCTCTGGATCCCCAGGAGATAAGTGAGCATTATTAGGGGCAGAAGGGTTGGGCACCCTTCTGGCCCCTGACTGTTACGATCAGGGGACCATTTATTAATGGACTATGGGGCTTGGAAACCTGCTTGCACACATACGTGTGCATGAGGTGAAGTAAAGTTCATGAGACCTCTACCCAGTTATATTTTAGCCTCCACCACACCCTCAGCCCCCTACACATAGGCTAGAAAAATAGCTCCCTATTTTACTTTTTTTTTTCTATTCACAAGTTTCATTTCTCCAAATTGCAGTGTATGCTCAGTCAGGCTTCATTAAGCTGTCTCACTGGCTACACACTTCTAAAACTTCTACATCTGGTGCAGCATTTATTACAAAATTGTCTTTTTTACAACTGTAAATCTGCAATATTTTTTTCGAGGGGTGTAGTGAGTTATTCCAGCCAGAAGATATCAAACTTCTGTTGCTGTAGCAGCCATGACAAAAAAGCACAGCATAACACAGCATCAGACTCTGTAAATCAAGCCCAATATATTATAATTTATATAAATATTTTAAAAAAAAATTATTTTTAAAAGACAAAAAAAAATTAAAACATTCTTAAAATAAATAAAGTGAAAAAAGTGTGTGCATAGTGATAAGGTAATCCATAACGGGTTTTTTTCACGGGTCTCTCCGTTATGGAGCACCTTATCACTATGCACGCACTTTTTTCACTTTACTTATTTTAAGAATTTTTTTTTTGTCTTTTAGTACTTAGACAGCGATTGCGAAGTTGAGGGAATTACCCTAGATGGAGTATAAGCATAGAACACCCATGAAGGTGTTTACAGGAGATTTAGGGTCTAGAGACTAGGGACACCTTTACCAGATACCTCTAGTATTTATAGAGAGGTGGAGTCATTTGCATATATCCCTATCACCTATCTTCTTGTATATATACCCTTCACTTTATATATTTTTTCATGTGCTTATTTCTCACTGTTTAAGCATATCTCTCACTATTCCTTTGTGTTTTGACTTTTGCCTCTGGGTGATTACATTAGGCTCTGTTGTAGCCAGTGTTATATAGATTTCCATGAGGGCTTATAAACACAAAGGTGGAGATTGCTACTTTTTTTGTTAGTTCTCATATCGTTACATTTGTATCCTGTGGAGTTAATGTGGCACGCTTAATTACCAATCATTCGCTATTGAGCATATCACTTGGTATTTAGACAGCTATTTGAGAATTTAAGGGATTTTTTTTTTTCTTCCCTAAACTTAATTTAAGCATAGAATATCAATGAAGGTGCCTGAAGGATATTTGTACAAAAATACCCAAAAGTGTGAGGAAGTGGCAATGAGAAACAAATACTGAAAATGCAAATAGTGGGTGGCAGTATATTTAGCTGCCTTCTAGTTTAATATTATTATTATTTATTATTATTTTATTATTTATACAGCGCCATCAGATTCCGTAGCGCTGTACACTATGCCACATATTAATTCTCTATAGCTCAAAGATATCAAAAAAGTATCAGGTGGGCTGAAAATCCACTGAAAGCATAAAAGTAAGTATACAGATAAGAAAACAGAGTTTGTGGTATAAAAGTCAGCAGTCTATAGACTATCCTATAGTATCTGGGGTCATATAAAGAGGTACATGTGTCGGTTAGTCCCTCTGCTAGTATAAAGTTAGTCAAAATAGTTTTCTAATCCCTACATATTTGACAGCCCACACACGTTCCCCCATACGAGTAACCCAAAATGGATACAAATATCCCAACAAGTATAACTAAAAGTTGTAACAATTACTAGAAAGACTAATTAAGTAAATGAGAAGTCTAATAGGAGTCGTGAGCGGAGGAGTTCGAGTACAACTAAAGCATAACAAATCATAAATAAGAAAAAAACGCCAGCTCCAATGAACACCACTCTACACGCGTTTCACCCGGCGATTGTAACCGGGATCATCAGGAGTGCTAGAGGATGTCAGAGGGTGAGTCCATTTTTAAATACAACTGTCAAGGCTGTTATTGGTTGATTGGTCCCTGTGGGTGTTTAGCCGCTAAGCGGTTGGTTGTATTTTTTTCTCCAGCGTGTACTCTGCTGAGAGGGATGAATTTAGGAGACCTGTGAATTTTACATTTTTGTTAGGAAACATGGTATAAACAACATAAGAAGATGTGAAATAAAAGAGAAAGAGACCCAAATTAGATAGATGTTATATTAAATATTCTGTATAGGTAGACAATAAAGTGGAGTAAAGTAGAAAGATTCTGAGTAAATACAGGTTGAATAGAATGCTGTTTGAAGACAGTTTGAATAGAATATAGTTTGAATAGAATGCTGTAGAATAGATCCCCAAGAGGGGGTTTGGATCATTGGAGCCCTTAGGCAGCTTTAAATTTTCCATTGATTTTCAGTTTACATATTTTCATTATTATTTTTTGTCCTTATTTCCACTTGAGAATACTTTCTAGACTTGTGAAATATTCACTTGTGATTATTTATCAATGCACTATTATTGACATTGATTTTTGTTTTTTTATTTCAATTAATTCAAGAGACCATTGAGTACAATTGATAAGTAATTTTTGTCAGAGTGTGAATCTATTATTTCTATCCTGTTTTTACAGACTTGGCTGACAGGGTGTACAAACATAGGTATAGTAAACTAACCAAGGGAAAATAAGATTAACTTATTTCAGACCTTGCATTGGAATATACTAAAATATCAGTAATCTTCTTTTGGAGAGTCAGATTTATATATCGTAGCTCTTACCTAATAGCGTTACAGGCCCATACATATATTTAATTCATATGGCTTTCCAACACGTATTTTTATAAGTGTGTTCTAATACATAAATTTACAAATTATACAATTGGGATTCCATTTAATAAAGAGACTCTGGTACATACATTTCCTAGCTTGCAACAACTGACCGCCTTAGGACCATTGGTTCAAACTACATATCGGTTTTCTTATCTGTATACTTACTTTTATGCGTTCAGTGGATTTTCAGCCCACTTGATACTTTTTTCATATCTTTGAGCCATAGAGAGTTAATACATGGCATATTGATAAACTGTGAGGCAGCTAAATATACTATCACACACTATTTGCATTTTCAGTATTTGTTCACACATTTGGGTATTTCTGTACAAATATCCTTCAGGCATATTTTTCCCGTTCCAGACTTTGGGAGGAATATGCTGGTACTCAACACCAAGGTTTTCCATGGGAATATCTATGGTGAGTCCCAGGTGTACATTTTTCTTCTTGTCACAGGACAAGTTATTTTATTGCTTAGCTGTACTCTTCCCCTTTGTTTTGTCACGGTTTTTCTTTTTGTATTGATATTTTCTTTCAGCTATAGAGTACTTTGTTCTATTTATATATCCATTCGTTGGATAGTTTTTACCAGATTTCATTAAAGGTTATATTTGATCCATTTCTTGGTGTTTCACCACATTCTATGTTTTTCAGAAGTATAAAACACTTTCAAACAGGTTCTGACACCGTTCCATTATTTCTTGCATGAACATTGGGGCACGACATCATGGTACAATAAGTGATTTGCATTGTCAGCAAGGCTACAGTTGGAAAAAAACAAAACTAAACGCTGTTTTAAAAAAAGAACAGTATATCTAATTGCTGTATTTTAATTAGCAATTGGATCATTAAACTGAGATAACAGTTTGTCTTTGGGCAGAGAAGGTTGCATGCATACAACCAGGTGAATCCTTAGTGCATCACAGTGGTGTATAAGTAAATGGTGTGCCAAATAAAAGGGAGTAAAACCTTTCTTTGTAGTATACATGATGTCAGACGATTGACGGTCTATTAAAGGACATTACTCTGTAATGCTTTGTAGACCTTATTACAGTAGAAGCAAACATGGCCTTTATACAAAGATTAGATAATGTCAAACATCTGCTTTCTATCTCGGAACAAGTATAAACATAAAGGAGGGTGTTGCAATAGGTGTCTACTTAAATTATGCTAAATATTTTGATGCGTTGCCCTGCACGTTTCTATATAAATGAAATTATAGCGTGTCTGGGAAAACACTTGCACCAGAGTGGATTACTGCACGAAGCACAAAGTCGGAGGTTCAGCTAATGCCAAATTCTAAAATTAGACAAATGTTAGTAGAAGGACAGAAAAGGGTTTACTTCTTTTTAGTTTGTTTAATATTATGTTTGATCATATCTATATTTAAAAAAATGTGTTTGTGTAAGAAAAAGAAAAAGAAATATAGAAATACAACCTCTTCATCCTGCAACTGGGCACTTCCATCTTCGTTCCCTCTCAATCATTGTTATATGTGCTGTCCTTTGCACCTGTCAGTCCGCATAGAGAAAACCTACAGAGAAGAGGAGAAATACAAAATGTTTCTGTTTCTCACCTTCATTTGCAATGTTTGCTGTGGTTTTGCCTTGTATCGACTGGATTATGGTGTCAAAGGGAATGCCTAAATACAAAAATAAAATCTATGAAAAGAGAACTCACTGTTTAGTAGTGAATACATGCATGCATTTAATGATGTATGTTTCTCATTGGAGTATATCTTAAATAAAATCACTGTTTAGTAGATATACCCCAAAAGAAAACTTGCATGCATTTAATAGCTTTAAAAGGAGTGTATCTAACGACAACTTGCAAAACCTTCAGCTTTTTTGTCTGCTGCTTTTGCAAGACCTCCTTTTCTAAACCCGCCCAGACTTTCTGTGGCTGTCCAATCACGGACTTCACAATGCAGCTCAAGGGGAAGTCTTTGCAAGGCCGCTTCTCTGAGGAATTGCTGCCTCAAGTTCAGTGCAAATAAGCTAACCAAACCAGGAAGTAACAGGACCTGTTGTCTGATTGAAAAGCTCGGGAGGTGTAACCAATTTCTATTGAAATCTGAAATTTTTCCAAAATAAAAATATACGACACACTCTTCACACATAAAGCTTTTCGACAAACCAAAGTGCTTTAGGGGTCTGGAATGTCCCTTTAAAACGGCTCGCAAAACTGCAGTTATCTTTTCTGTTGCCTTCTTCCCTAGCTGGGAAGCCCAGACCTTGAGCTGTATAAGGGCACAAAATTTCTGGTGGCGGCCCTGCCAGCACATATTATTTACTGTATTTTAAGGACAAAAAAGGCTTCAATTTGATGTGACATACAATATTTAGAAAAATAAAAATAAAATATTTTTTTCACAGTTTTGGCAATGATAATGAATACATAAATAGTGCAGTTGAAGAAAAGTAATTTGTACTAAATTAAATTTATTTTTCAGATTTATAGAGTACATGTCTAGGATTTCAGTTAATTTTTAGTAGTTACAAAATCTAAGAACAGAATATAGAATTTGTTATTTCTGCCTTGTTTGATAGAAAACAAAATTGCTACACAAAAGTATTTATTTATATATTGTCATCTCAGCGTGTTTATTTAAGGATATTTTGATACTATTTTTACATAGCCAGTTAACTGCCAATCTCTGCTAAAAATTGTACAATTGTGGTATTTCTGCTTAGGAGCGTCTGTTAGCTCTGCTAAACATAAGCTGATTGCTCTCAGCCAATGAGTCAAGCCCTGCACTATCAGGCTTAACTCAGATAGAGACCTTCTGGCTATCTGGCTACTTACAATGAGGAATGTCAGGACACGTCTGGTACCATAACAACTACAGCATGTTTTAATGGTTATGGTGCGTGTTCCTTTAACATTACAAAATTATTTTAGCAATGTACTTTAACCCCTTGGTGACCGCGGACGTACAGGGTACGTCAGCCAAAAAACGGTTGTTAACGACCGCTGACGTACCACTGTACATTCGTGGCCAAAATGAGCACTGGAAGCGATTATGATCGCTTCCAGCCGCTCTAAGGGTATTACACGATGCCTTGATATCGAGGCATCGTGGAATACTCCCCATCACTGCCGGGCACCTAAGTGATTGCTCCCCCCGGCGATCACTTCCAGGTTGCTGCACCTGGTGGCCGGTAGTGTAGGCAGGCTTCCAATGCTCTGCCTGTACTGAGTGCCTCGAGTAAATAAAAAAATAAAATAAAATATATATATATATATATATATATAATAATAATTAAATTAAAAAATTAACCTCCTACCTCTTCCTCCCCATGTACTTACCGTTCACTGCCGTTCCCACCGCCTGCAGTTGGTCTTATTCTGAGGGGGGACTGTTTGGACTTTGCCCAGACAGTCCCCCCTCTGCAATTTAGGACCCCCAGGGGCCATGTGACCGCAATGCTGTCAGCAGGGGGACTGCCTGAAAAATGTAAATAAAATGTAAATAAAGTTAATAAATTAACAAATATATATATGTATATATGAGATATATTTATACATATATTATATCTATACATAATATGTATATATGTATATCTTATATATAATGTCATACTAAGTGTATTTTTTATTAATACATATATTAATGTAAAAATACATTTAGAGTAAAATTACACATATATATTATTATATATACACAATTTCCTTCTATGTATATTTTCTTAACGACCGTGGACGTACTGGGAATGTCCGACAAAAAACGATCGTTAATGACTGCAGACATACCTAGTATGTCCTCGGCAAATAGGACATATATATATACCTGGACCGGCGATCTGCTGCGATCACGGTCGGATCAAACCAATATGGCAAACTGAATTGGGCAAGCCCTATATTGACCGTGTAACTTTCAAAAACACAATAAAACCTGTACATGGGGGGTATTGTTATACTCAGGAGACTTTGCTGAACACAAATAAGAGTGTTGAAAACAGTAAAACATATCACGACGATGAAATCACCAGTGAAAGTGCAAAGAAAAAAACCCCCATAAAACGCTAACTTTGGTCAGCATTTGTGGCTAATTGGCTACTAAAAAAAGATTGGACATACCCAATTTTGAATACCATGGGTTGTCTACTTTTACAAATGGTATGCCATGATGGGGTTAATTTCCCTGGGCTGCTATACGGTCTCAAAGGCAACATAGGCCCAGCAAACCAATCTGGCAAATTACAATATGCAAACATGGAAAAGGGTAAAGCCCTACATTTGACTCCAGTAAGTTTGCAAAAAACCATAAAACCTGTATATTGGGGGCACTGTTGTACTAGGGAGATATTGCTGAACACGTATTTGGAACTGAGAATCCATGCCTAAAGTACAACGTGAGAGAAAAAAATGACTACCTAAAAGTTTGACAAAGACTGGTGGTCAATTAGTGTATGGAAAGTGTTAAAATACCACCATTTGAAATACCCTACGGTGTCTACTTTTCAAAAATATATGGTTTGATGGGGGTAAATTATATTGGCCAGCTTTACAAATGTCCCAAATAGGACATGGTGCATGATGACCAGCTGTGAAATTCCAAGTTGGAAAACTGGAATGCGCACCCTCTAAATAAGGTATTTTAGCCCCCAGAGAACCCAACACACTTATATATGGGGGTATCACTGTACTCAGGAGATGTTGCTGAACAGATATTGGGGTGTTCTTTGGCAGTAACCTTTATAGTTCTCCGTATATGTATTCAAAATTGCTGTGTGTGTCAGAAAAATCACAAATTATTATTATTATTATTTTTTTTTTCAATTCCTTATTTTAGTGGTGCTTTAAGGGAACAACATGCAAGTATCGACATTTTGACATTTCCAAGAGTAGCATGCGAGATTAACAATATATATCGAGTTGTCAGCACCTTTTTTGTTAATATAGTAGAGAAATAACAGCGAAGTTAAACAAGATTTACAACAGTGACCACTGGTCCGCGCCGTAGAATCTTAGAACATAAGATCATACAAGAAGAGAAAAGGAGATAGTCTCCACTGGGCAGTGCTTCACAAAATATTATTGCCAACCTATTAGGTAAATAAAGCACACCTTGTTGTAAGAGAACCGTGGGTTATTCCCAAGACTGCTTAGGCAAATGTCTGGGGGTGGGAGGCTGAGGCAATATGAGCAACGTTAATGTGCATGGGAATTTCTATGTTTGAGGACTGTGACTGTGCGGCACATATTAAATGCTTACAAAATAAAATAAAATCAAAAACACAAACTAAGATAAAACATATGTTAATAAGGCATATCAATCTGAAGCTGTACGCTATTAAACGCCTTCGCAGGGTAGGAGAGTCCATCGGCAGGTTGTTGGTCAGGGATGCTAGGGGTGGTAGTCTTAGAAAGTGCTGTCCGAGTGAGGGATGAAAAAAAAAAAAAAAAGGCAAGTTACTCAGCCGATGCCTCCTCTCAAGGCCCATTCCTTCCATGTGCTAGGAGGTGATGTTGTGGATTTCCCAAGCGTGTCCCTGGGTGTCAGCATGCCAGAGCTCTGTATAGGTGGCAGCGTGTTGGAATAAACCTGCCCCTGCACAGGTCGTTTCATGGTTGGGGAAGCTGAGCGAGGTGAGGGAGGGCTCCAGTGCTTCGAATCGCTCGGGCTCTTCACTTGTTTCTTCCGTCGGATCACCGAGAATCGGGCGTATATGGCGTTTCTACCGCTAGTAGAGTGAGGTAAGGTAGCCCTCCAGCTCCCGGTGTGTACTATGGGCTGCCCCTGGGTGCCTTTAGCCATGGTGCTTTGGGTTTTCCCTTTTGGAGGGTAGTGGAGCGTCTTGTCTGACTACCGTTGCAGGTGGCAGCGTGGTCGCCAACTGCGCGGGCAATGCTTCGGGACTGTGCCCCTGAAATCTTCTTAACGGGCAGACATGCACTTGGCACTGTTGGTGTGGGAGGCGCTGGTGTCGGAAGTCGTGCAGGTTGGCTAGCTATTCTGTTCCAGAATTGTTCACATATGGCATCAAATCTGGCCCTGAAGAGGGTGCTCCATTCCTGGCTCTCCAGATCTGCTTTTGAGTGTGGAGGCACTGCTGCGGCAGCCATTTTGGGTACGTCGTTTGGTTTCATGCTTGCCACTAAAGGCATGTGCTGTGGAGACAGGCTTACCCAGTGGGGACCGGGATAACCCCCACCAGTCCAGAGGGGGGGAGAGTACTGCAGGGCCCTGCTGTGAGTTGCGGAGTGAGGAGATTGGCCGCCTTTCCCCAGCTCCACTCCCAGTAGGCCGCAGTAGGCCCGTCTAGGCATTCAGCTACAAAAGTTGTCGAGTGAGGTATCGATCTGCTTGCCCAGGGGACCCTGACCTAGATAAAGCTTGATGGATAACATTTGAGTGCAATAGCTGGGAGTTATGCCCCCAAATCTGCCAAAGTCGGAGGAGCTCAGACTCTGCATGTCTTGCCAGCTTGATGGTCAGGCTCCACCCCCCATTATTATTTTTTTTAATTTGGCATAGACTGGTGGTAAAATGGTTGCATGAAAAGAGTCAAAATACCCCAAGTTTGATACATTAGGTTGTCTTTTGTGTGGGTACAGTAAATGAGTAAGAGGAAATTACAGCTAAACACAAACACCGCAGAAATTTAAAACAGCCCTGGTCCCAAACGGTAAGAAATTTTAAAAATGGTCTGGTCACTAAAGGGTTAAAGTGAAGACATAAAAAAAATGCAAGCCTTTACATGTTTATTTGCCTCCTACTATGTATAAATCAGCTTGATGGCAACACATATGGTTAACAAGTATAATTTCTCAATAGTATTGTGTCTCTTTTGAAAAATAAACAATGTAATATACATGTCCCTTATTTAAAATAGCACACAGGTAGATATTTAAATAAAAGTAGTACATACCATTTATATAGCAGGGCCGGCGCTTCCTATAAGGCGAACTAGGCAGCCGCCTAGGGCGCCATATAGGAGGGGCTACTCTGCTTCCTAATGCCGCCCTTACTTTGTCGCCTGAGCCGCCTATGCGCGGAGAAGTCAGGGCGGTTGTACGTAGTAGCCTCACTCTCCCTTTTCTTCTCAGCAGCAGCAGCTGAGTGCCCCGCACAGCGAAGTGCACACTCAGTGTACTTCCTTCAGTCCCGCCGGGTCGCTGGACTGAAAAGGGAGCTCGGCCACTTGGCCAGGCAGGCAGGGAGGCAGGGAGAAGCTGGGGAGATCATTTGATGGGATGGAGGGGGGGGTGAGACCATTTGATTGGAGGAAGTGAGACCATTTGATTGGAGTGGGAGGGGGGGGAGGGGGGAGAGATCATTTGATTGCATGGAGGGGGGGTGAGACCATTTGGATTGGAGTGGGAGGGGAGAGATCATTTTGATTTGCAGGGAGTGGGGGGGGAGAGATCATTTTGATTGCAGGGAGGGAGGGGGGGGAGAGATCATTTGATTGCAGGGAGGGAGGGGGGGAGAGATCATTTGATTGCAGGGAGGGAGGGGAGGGGGGGTGAGACCATTTGATTGGAGGGAGGGGGGGAGAGATCATTGATTGCAGGGAGGGGGGGGTGAGACCAGATTGCAGGAGGGGGGTGAGACCATTTGATTGCAGGGAGGGAGGGGAGAGATCATTTGATTGCAGGGAGGGGGGGTGAGACCATTTGATTGGAGGGAGGGGGTGAGACCATTTGATTGCAGGGAGGGAGGGGGGGAGATAATTTGATGGGAGGGAGGGGGGGGAGATGATTAGGGGGGGAAAAGAAGAGAAGATTACGGGGGAGAAGAAGCGATTACAGGGAGGGAAGGGGGGAGAAGAAAAGATAACAGGGGGGAGAAGAAGAGGAGAACACAGGGAGGCGGGGGAATAAGAGGAAAACACAGGGGGAGAAGAAGAGGAGAACACGAGGGGTGGGAGATGAGAACGTAGGGGAGGGAGAGACCACTAAAGGAGGGAGGGGCGGTGGAGAGACCACTAGGGGAGGGGTGTGAGGTGAGACCGCTAAGGGAGGGGGGTGGAGGATAGACCACTAGGGGAGGGTGGGGGGAGAGGAGAGACCACTAAGGGGCAGGGGAGATCTCTAAGGAATGGAAGGGAGAGCACTATAGGACAGGGGGACAGGGAGCTCTTTCACACCACGCGCGCACACACACACACACACACATGCATCCCTATACACACAGAAACACAACATGCTTCCCTTACACACAGAGAAACACACAATGCAACCCTTACACATAAAGACAATGCAACCTTTGCACATATACACAGAAACACACAATGCATCCCTTACACACACATGCAAACACACACTGCTTCTCTTACACACACACACAGAAACACAATGCATCTTACACACACTCAACGCACCCCTTACAGACACACACACTGCATCCCTTACATACAAAGAAACACACTTTGCATCCCTTATGCATACAAACACAGATTCACACAATGCATCCCTTACACACAACAAGAAACACACAATACATCCCTTATACACACACACACTGCTTCCACTACACACAAACACACTGCATCACCTACACAAACTGGTATCCCTATACACTACATTCCGTAAGCACACACATTAGATCCTCTACAGTAACACATAACAAATCCCCTACACACTCTACTCCCTGTGAGTTCATGGGTGGAACATGTAGGTGGCCTTATGGGTGGGCTTTATGGGCATACTCACCGTCAGGCCCTGGGGCCCAGACCTTGAGCTATGTAAGAGGCCCCAAAAAATGGAGCTGCTTCCCGTTCTCCCAGAACATTGAATTTTGTGACCACAGTTACAAACAGCCTCCAGAGATCCTGTTCTACACCAGACCAGTGGAGCCAGACTGCAGCCAGAGCCCATCACCATCCTCATCTGATTGTAAGTAGGCAATCTAGTATATTATTAGTGACACTAATCTCTAATTTACCTCACATTAAATGGACACTATAGTCCCCAGAACCACTGCAGCTTAATAAAGTTGTTCTGGTGTCTATAGTTTGTCCCTGCAGGCTTTTCAATGTAAACACACACTGTGTGCAGCACTGGCATTAGTTCATATGGGTGGGGCATTGCGATGTTCCGGGGGGGAGGGGGGCGGCAAATCCTTCTTTTGCCTAGGGCGGCAAAAATCCTTGCACCGGCCCTGTATATAGGTATGTTTTTTTTCTTTGCTGAGCTTTCTGAAAATTCTAAGGATAAAGCAGATAGGACACTGATTGTAAAGTACAACGGTACCTAGCGAAAAAAGAGGAGAGACCTTTTTTAAGAACAAAATTATCAGAGGTATATTTCTATGATTAGAATTCTGACCCAGACCTAAACCAACAGTTTGAAACTTTAAAAATGTTGTTGTGCAATTCCCTTTTATCTGATACAAAATATTTCCAGTTCCCATTTGAAATATGAGTATGAGAAAAAGTACGTTTGTAAATGGTATCAGAGGGTTCTCACATCTTCCTGGCACCAGATTTCTGGCTGGGTAGCAAAGTGGACAGCTGTATGGTTTGTGTATCACAGACATTTATCTTTGTAGTTGCACAAGTAGATCTCTGCAGGCAGTGAATGTCCATATGTTTAGATCATCCACTTTTACAACATATTTTGATCCTTTGAGATTTCTTTCCCATGGCACATCAAGTATATTCTTACCAATTTGTTCAATTTTTTACACATAGTGAGAGCCGTAATAGGCATTGCTTAGCAATGATAAATATGCGAAGCATACAGGCACTCAAACACAAGTCTAATCAACTCATGTGAGTGGAATTTATACGTACACATATTGATGTTAACATGTTACAGTACTCTGTTTTGTTGATTTTCAGATAGACATTTCAACTCGTTTTCAAACTGTATGAAAGATTCCCCTAATGCCAGCAGAAAAGTTTTACAAAGTTTGTAAAACTTAAATAAAAGTTTGAAAAAAGTAAATAAAAGTACTTAGATCATATATATACATTGCTATATATATATATATATATATATATATATATAATCTAAGTATTTTTATATACACATACACACATCATTATTAAAAGTGTATTTTAATATTAATATATATATATATATATATATATATATATATATATAAATATATATATATATATAATCAATGAAGGAGCACTCCAAGGGATTTTTCAAACTTGTTTATAATCCGGTGTTGAAAAAATCAGTCATCAACGTTTCGACCCAATAGGGTCTTTATCAAGATAACAACAACCTCAAATTAATGTGCATATATACAAAAATACAAATAAATCTAACTTACCCCACCTGAGAAGTGAAGCCCGCTCACCAAGTGCCGCAGAGTAGTGCGCATGCGTAGTGACGTCACTGAAACGGTGCGTCATGACGTGTGTGCGTACGTGCGTGATAACGTGATCATGTGATCCCATGGACCGCAAGCGTGTCCATGGAAACCTGAATCAATAAAAACAAAGCAAAAGGAGAGATAGGAATCTACAGACCGGAAAAGTCATCGAATGTTGATGAGCCACAATTGAAATAAATAAATAAATAAATACACAGAGTGTAGCTAGGAGAAAAAAACGTGAAGCAAAGAGTGAAAAAAGCATAAGAGGATAATAAGAAATAAAAACAAGAATGTGCAGAGAAAAAGTGAATAAAAGTGAAAAAACACAAATAAGAGCCTCTGAAAAGAGACAAAAACGTGATGTGTGAGAAAGAAAAGTGAAGTGTATGAATAGACATATACATCTGAAAAAAGTGAAAGAAGGAGAATAGAAAAGAAATAAGACCTAGTACACCTCAGAGTCCTAAACACATGTGATCCGATCATATAAAATCCATATATAATAGAGACAAATACTGATCATACTTCCAAGTGTACATCAGATACAGAATAATATTACTAATAGGCATGCATATGTATGTTAAGTTCCTACACATACAACAGTAAATAAACTTCACAAATTACATTATGGTAATAAAGAAAAATGCAGAGGCCAAAAAATGTATATATATATATGTATATATAAGGCCTAAAAAGAAAATAAATAAAAAATAGACTAACGTCTCTCCAAAAATGAGTTAAATGAAACATATTCGTTCAATCCTTTGGGTTGTAACGTGTCCAATTGTTTGATCCAGAAGGTCTCCCTTTGAAGTAATAACTTTGACCGGTCACCTCCCCTGATTGGAATAGGTATGACATCTATAGCAATAAATTTAAGCATGGGTAATCTGTGGTTAAATGCGAGGAAGTGTTTAGCCACAGGTTTGTCCGTTTTCCCATCTCTAAAAGCCGTCATAATAGCTGATCGATGCCCTCTGATCCTATCACGGAGGGTTAAATCCGTCTTACCCACATAAAAAAGACCGCAGGGGCAGGAGATTAAATAGACCACGTGATCTGTTAGACAGGTGATATAGTGTCGAATCTTATATCTTTTGCCCGAATGTGGATGTACAAAGGAAGAGCCTGTAAGCATATGACCACAAGTGACACATCCAGTACAACGAAAACAACCCATTTTGTTGGTTTTAGTTGGAGCCAATATTTCTCTAGGGAGGTCTGTTTTCATCAGAAAGTCTCTCAAATTTCTATTCCTAGTGTATGATATCCGAGGGGGATTGGAGAAGACCTTACTAAGGGTTTTATCAGTTGACAAAATCTCCCATCGTCTCCTAATATTCTTGGAGATATCCATACTCGCTGAATGAAACTTCATGGGAATAGTGATACGTGGTGAACTTAACCGTCTTGTCCCCTTTTCAAAAATTTCAAAGGCTCTAGTTAGCGTTTTATCCAGAATATACTTCGGATAGCCCCTCTCAAGAAAAGATTGACGCATGGCATTCAATTGTAAATCCCGATTATTGATCTCCGAGTTATTTCTGAGTACCCTCAGAAATTGTGAGATAGGTAGGGAATTCTTAAGGGCTGAAGGGTGAAAACTAGTGTAATGTAAAAGTGTGTTGCGATCAGAGGATTTCTTATACAAACTGTAGCAAATCCGATCCATGCATCTATATATCTCCACATCTAAGAATTGTATTCTGTCAAAACTCCAATTCAAGCTAAGTTGTATCGGGGATTCATCCGTATTAATGGCCTTAACCATGGAGTGTAATTCCTCCTCAGAGCCAGACCAAATAATAAAAATATCATCCACAAATCTATGGTAAGAAATAATGTGCGTATTAAATTTCTCCAGTATGCGTAAACGTTCAAACACGTACATGTAGCAATTGGCATATGATGGTGCTATAGCCGATCCCATGGCAGTCCCCCTGAGTTGGACATAAAAATTCTTCTCAAATCTAAAATAATTGTGGTGTAGCAAAAATCCCAAACACTCCATCAAAAATTCAATAGGGGGTCCATGGTAATTATCACACTCACAAAGCCAAGTGCGCATAGAATTCGTACCTTCAATATGTGGAATGATAGTGAAAAGGTTTTTAACATCAATAGTACGCATGCGCACTACTCGGCGGCACTTGGTGAGCGGGCTTCACTTCTCAGGTGGGGTAAGTTAGATTTATTTGTATTTTTGTATATATGCACATTAATTTGAGGTTGTTGTTATCTTGATAAAGACCCTATTGGGTCGAAACGTTGATGACTGATTTTTTCAACACCGGATTATAAACAAGTTTGAAAAATCCCTTGGAGTGCTCCTTCATTGATTATACATACCGAGGCTTGGAAGCACCCGGGTAATTTCTGTACTTTATTTTGGATTTAAAGGAAGAGTGCCAGAGTTTGCTTTCTTATATATATATATATATATATAAAATATTTGACCAGGATGGATACATTGAGACTCATTTTCAAGTATCTCCTGTGTCCACAAAAATTGCATTGTTACAATAGGATACAATATTAAAGAAATACAATATATATATATTTGTGTTAAGGGCTCATGATAGTACAGAAGATACAAACACTGATAAGTGTGGGATAGTGTGAAAGAGCAAGTCGGTTGTGGTGTGCCGGAACCGACGATGAGGTAGGCCTGCAAATAAAGAGGGCAAAAGTAGAAAATATACTTTATTACGAAACGAGCAATATACATACTTCAACCAGACATATCTTGAAAGGCATTTCTAACTTCTTGTACCGGGTTAGGTATGTATCTAGAGTATGCAGAAGACTTCCAGCGCCCTAGTGACTTGATAACATGTACTGGAATGTTTGCACTGGACGCTGTGGAGGCCGCCCCTATGCGGAAGGAGTGGCCCGAATAGTTAGCTGATTTTAGGCCTAGTTGTGTAAGTAGGGACCTGACGTGGGTCATGAAGGTGTTGGTAGTGAGTACCGAACCTTGTAGACAGAAAAGTGGTTGACATGGTGATGCTTTGAAATGCTGAGTATAGGTGTCCAGTAATGTGACGGGGCACCACACGTTGTGGGTAGGATAGTATCTAACCTCTACCGGGGGTGCGTGTTGATTGGTTTTGGAGTGATGCAGAGCTAAAATATAGTAATCCATGTGTTTCGTTAAGTGTGAATGAAGCAGAATGTGAGTGGACTGGGATGTGTTGATGGCGGTAAATTCTCTTGGTCTCAAGAAACCATAAAAAGCTACGTATATGGCGGTTTTTATAACAAGGTTTGTGTTGTTCGCAAAGGGTTTTGAATCTAGTAGGCTGGATAAATCCTTGAAGATATTGAAGTCTATAGGTAGCCTTTGCGCGGTACGTGGGGGTTCGGATCTCTGGATACCTCTAAGGATGTTTTTATCTGGTAGGAGGACATGAAACTTGTGTTGTTTGGTTGTAATGTTAGCATGTGATGTTGTATGCCTGTCAGATATAGCTTGATTGTGTTGTAAGATAATTTGAGTTTGAGGTGGCAAAAAGAAGCAAAACCTAACAAAGATGTCATGATGAAAGGTTGTGTGACGTTGTGCAGTGACAGGAATCTTTTAAATAGAAGGAAAGCCCTGTCATATGTTCTCCGGGTATTGGTGGACAGTGCTAATTGTGCCAATGTCCTGCTATGTTGCATAATAGCTTCTAGTCCATGACTAGCTGGTGGAAAGGTGGAGTGGTCGTGGCTGTACGTGCGGCTGACGGAAGTATTTGCCGAAAAGCCTGAAAATTGAAACGAGACAAATTGTCAGCAGCCGTGTTACAAACACCTGGGACATGGACACAAAACAAGAAGAAATTATGGCATGCAGCCAGCCAGGTGAGTTTCCTCAAGAACCTCATAATGGTCAGTGACTTGGATCGGCCTTTGTTTATGATGTGGCAGGTAGCTTGGTTGTCTGAGTGGCAACGTACTGACGAACCTGCCCATAGATGCCCCCATGTCACGGCAGCTGCCACAATGGGATACATCTCAAATAGAGCTGAGGTAGTGGAAAACCTTCCAGGTCCTGTACCTCTGGAGGCCAGCTACCCCAAAGCCATTCATTCCCGTAAATTGCTGCAAAACCTGTGGTAGACGCCGCGTCTGACCAGATGGTAGGTGAGGAGTCAGACAATTTAGGGAGAAACATGCTTTTCCCATTCCAGGTGGTCAAAAAGTTTCTCCACATAAGTAGGTCTGCCGTGGCTTGGGTATCCAGTGGTAACCTGTGTGCATCATGTCTAAACAGTGGGAACATGGTTAGGAGCCGTGAGATGAAAGCCCGGCCTTGAGGTATAATGCGCATGGCAAAGTTCAGTGACCCAAGTAGAGACTGCAATTCTTTGCGATTGCAAGTACCGAGGTGTATGTAGAGGTTAATGTTGGTGAGAATGTTCTCTATCTTGGTGCGTGGCAGGCTGGCTTGCATGGTGGCTGAGTCTAGCATGATTCCCAGAAAGGTGATGACTGTATCTGGTCCTTCAGTTTTGGTGGGGGAGACTGGAACACCCACCTGTTTAAAAAGACTGATGGTTTCTATGAGGCTACTGGGAGGGGAAGTGTTCTCTTCGATCAGTAAGAAATCATCCAGGTAGTGTATAACTGTAGGGCATCTGGCTACATTTAATAATAACCAGCATAATGTTTCGGCGAATATGTCGAAAATGGCCGGACTACTTTTTGAACCAAACGTTAGGCGTGAGAAAAAGTAGTAGTGCCCGGCCCACTTAATGCCATGCAGGTGCCATAGTGTAGGGTGGATAGGCAATAACTTGAAGGCATTTGTAATGTCAGTCTTGCTGAGCCATGCTCCGACCCCTGCCTGCATGATAGCTGTAATGGCGTGATCTATGGTGGAGTATTGAAGTGAAAATTCCTCAGAGGGAATAAGGGAGTTCAGACTAGGTGAGGCAGAGGTGTGAGGTGCAGACAGGTCGATGATAAGTCTTTGTTTGTGGGAAGATTTCCCTGTGACAATAACGATGGGGTTTGTCCGC